AAGGTTTGTTTGCGGCATTCAAAGTTTCACGAAAAATTAATACAGGGTGGCAAAAACCGCAAAGTTCTATCTCTGCTGGTTACCGAGAAACCCTGTGATTACAAGCAATTTAGGACAGAGTGTACATGGGGTGCTGTTTCCCGCTTAAAGATTGTGGAATTTGACAGTCGGTGATTTCAGTGTACACATTTTGGGTCAGCTATTCACCCCTCCGCCTAAATGCCTATACTACCCAAGATCGAAATTACTCACAGCATGGTGTAATTAATTTCTGTGAAGTGGTAGTATTGGCACATTAAAACTTCTCGACTTTATTATGATGCCACTTACTTGATATAGAGTTGCTAATGGTATGAGTCATTACCAATAATTTCGATCTAGTAAATTGTACTGAAATCATGAAATCTGTGTGAATCTAGTAAAATCACGTTTACTCTTGGGAAATCAATGTAAATATGGGAATCAATGAAATCAACAAAATCAAGTGAAATCAGCAAAATCAAGTAAAATCAAATAATTATCTCAGGAAATCATTTAAATCAAGTGGTGAAATCCTGAGATTTTACCAAATCTAATTTTTGATTTCATTGATTTCCATTAACGTAATGAACTTGGAAGTGTCACACCCCTCGATAGAATGGTTCACAAAATCAGTAGTAGGATAGTATTTTTACAATTTTTGGAGCTGAATATATGAGAGACTGTTATATTTTTGGAATTGGGGCACTCTTCAAGAATATAGAATGAAATATAGGATATAGGGCATCCTATTTGAAAAAAGCTGGAAGCATGCAAAATTTTACATTTCTGACATTCAAATTTTGTTTCTGACTATGGATTCTAAAAATTTAGCCAATACTGTACAACTTTTGTGTTTACACCTTTCTTTTACCTGTAAAAGTAAAGGCTGCAGGTGGGGTGTCAATACATAAAAAAACACCCTATACAAAGTTAATCAAATTGCATGTTTTGTATTTGATATTATTTAAGATATTATACAAATATAGAACACTGTGTATATTCCTCTTGTGATTTTGGGGGCCCCGCCAGGGCTAGTTTTAAAAAAATATACAAATGTACTTCTAAATCCGAATTAGATTTAATTGGTACAATACAAGAGTAACTCCATTTAGTCTTAATTGAACATGTGGAACTTAACTTAGTTCTAGTTTTACTGAAGTAGGTAATCTCCATAATATCTTATTTTTGACGTTGCCTGTAATAGTAATCAGTGCAGAATGTTCGTTTTCAAAGCTCAAGCTTATTATTGAAAGCTTTTTGTGTTCCTCTATGACACAAGGTCGACTAGAATCAATGAAGCTGCTTTCCAAAAAAGCTGGGAAAGCTAGTAAAATGGACATATCTGAATAAGTTAGGGCATATGCCATCCATAAGGCCCGCAGAATTTCAGAAAGGATTTTTAGGTTTTGGTCTTCTCTTTGCTTTTCTTTTATTTTACTTTACGAGGATTTTTCTTCTTTTTCAAATATTTTCTTGTTCAGCGAGTGTTATATGTTATATTATATGATATGTTATATTTTTTTATTTTTGTCCTTGAATATCTACATCAATATTTTTTATGTTCCTCGTTTTATTATATTTACTGTTTTTATTATATGCTTGATTCGACTGTATTTAGGTTTCGTGTATTCCCTATTTTTTGTTTTATTTTCAAAATTTGAGTCTTTATTTTGGTTTATTACTTTTAAACGAGTTTTTAAACAACTGAAAATCAAAGCGTTGTTTCATTCTACTACACCTTATATTATGTAAATGCATATATTTATACATGGTATCCCACCACGTTTTACCCAGGTGACAGGTGAAAACTTCGGAAAGCGTCGACCAATATAATTGAAATTTTGAAAATCTGGGCAACTTTTTGTTCCACTTCTACATGTGTAATCCAATTTCACCACTTTCGCTTCAGTTTCAGTCAAGTGATGGCAACTTTAGAATCTTAAATGTAGGTACTTATCTTTTATGGTATATATGATGTAATTTTTCGTTAGAAATTTAAATTACAAAATCGGCAACGCCATATTTTTTTTAGAGTTTATCAAAGAAAATGATAAAGAAATACTAAGTGAAATAAATATTCGATGACGCGTTCCGAAGTAGTTATCACCTGGAGCCCAATTCTTGGATAATCTCGCATACAAAACGTGATATGATTTCTATTAATGTTAAAATGCTTGAAGTTTCTGATCACAAATCCGAGCATTTTGGATGCCTTGTTAATAATATTATTGTAATTCTCATTGAACTTCATATTATCCTGCAGGTGCACCCCCAGGTCTTTACATGTGGTTTTCCTGATTGTTCATTGTATAACAATTTTCGATAAAGTTAATAACACCACACCTTTCTATATTTAATACCATATTGTGGTCCCTGAACCATTTTTCACAACTGAGTCAAGGTCCTCCTGTAAATGCTGATAAGCATCAAGAGTGCGTACAATTTTGAAAATTACACGTTTTAGGTGAATGTCTTATTTGAAAAGTTCAACAGTATATTGATGAGCGAGAGGTCCACCCATAAGTTCCGCAACAATCCACTTATTTGTACTTGAATAATAGTTTATTATGTAAAGTCAAAATTTGTAAGATTATCCACTTTTTGTCAATTGGCCTTTCAACAGGAATTAGTAATGTTACTTTACCAAACTAGTAATATATTGTGACAAGTTATTCAAGTACAAACGAGTGAATTGTTGCGGAACTTATGGGTGGACCCAGCTATCTATTTACCCATATGTTGTTCAAGTACGATACTAACCTGACTCACTCAATTGTGAGTTATTCTCATTAGTTTAAAAAGTACATGTTTCAGGTGAGTATCTTATTTGAACAGTTCAACATTGGTGAGTAGATGGCTGCGGAACTCGCTGCGCTCGTCCCGCAGAGGTCTACCCATAAGTTCCGTAACAATCCACTTATTTGTACTTGAACAATAGCTTATTATATAAAGTCAGAATTTGTATGATTATCCAATTTTTATCAATTGGCCTTTTAATAGGAATTAGTAATGTTATTTTACCAAACCAGTAACATATTGTGACAAATTATTCAAGTATAAACGAGTGGATTATTGCGGAACTTATGGGTGGACCCAGCTATCTATTCATCGATATATTATTCAAGTACAATACTAACCTGATTCACTCAGTTGTGAATTTTTCTCAATAGTTCAAAAACTACACGTTTCAGGTGAATGTCTTATTTGAACAGTTCAACAGTATATTGGTATGTAGATGGCTGCGGAACTCGCTGCGTTCACCCATAAATTCCGCAATAATCTACTTATTTGTACAGGATGTTTTTTTATATATGTATTGACACCCCACCTACAACTTTTAAAGGTAAAGGCTGTAGGTGGGGTATCAATATATAAAAAAACACCCTATTTAAAATCACCTTATTCTCCTAAATAGTTCCCCCATTCCCATATTTTTATGGGACATTCCTTCGAAAAACCGTATCTTGCACAATGCGCTGCCAAAACTAACCCAATCTGGCTTACTTTAACTTAAACTGCCCCCCTTTCAAAAGGCCTGTATCCGCCCCTAAAAGAATCTTACCCTATTAATGCCTTAACAACATCCTTCCTACTATCAGCAATCAATTCTACAGCTTCATGCAAAGGAGTCTTTTGATTATAATCCTCAAGATTCGGATTGGCTTTGCCATGTTTAATCAACGCAATCACCGAAGTATACGAATTTGCTTTGACAGCCAAATGCAATGCGGATTGTGCCCTCAAATTTCTTAAATCTGGATCAGCTTCATTTTGTAATAATAATTCAATACACTCTGAGTGACCTTCCTCTGCGGCAATGTGCAAAGCAGTATTACCATTATCGGTTTTTCTCAAATTAATAAAATTAACAGATTTTTTCTCTAAAATCAATTTCAAGCATTCTGCTCGTCCCAATTCTGCAGCTAAAAATAACGGCGACATGTCGCCCAGTTTACCTTCTTGGAATATTTGAGCATCTGGAAATAATTGCAAAGTTATTGAAATAAATCAAAATTGAATTACCTCTCTCAATAAATAATCGAACGCAATCAATAGCATTGATTTTAACAGCTATAAATAATGGGGTTTCATAGCCAGGCCCATTAGTCAATGAATCTAATCTGGCTCCATTATCCAATAGTAATTTGGCTGTTTCTGCTTTTCCGGCAATGGCTGCGCAATGCAAAGGGCTGTACCATTTGTTGATGACGTTAATATTATTAGAATGATTGATAAGGATTTTGGTACTTTGGATGCAACCTGTGAAAGCTGCTATGTGAAGACTGCTAAGGCCATGGGTGTTTTCTGAATAGCTTTTTTCAAAATTATTGTTATATATGTTTAATTTGAAACAAAATTCTTACCTTATATTTGCCCCAAGATGAATTAGCTCCTCTAGTAAGTCAACTTTTTCCAAAAAAGCACACCATAATAAAGCCACATTTAATTCTTGTAAATTCAAGTTTTGACCACTAGAAATTTTGCCGCAACTAATATCGTGAAAAACATCTAATTTTCCAACTTTTTTTATTTCATTTAATATGCTTTTTTTAAGAGATTCGTAGGATAGAGGTAGGGCTTTACGAGCACACGATATTTTTTTGAAACATTTATTTTCAATTGTCCTGCCAGGTTCGGAAAGTTCACATTCGATATCCGAAATTGATTCGTTATTTTTCTTGGAAAAATTGAAAATTCTTGAGAGAATCTTGCAAAAATTTATTGGTTTTTTGTCGTTGATTATTAGGGTTGAATATGAGGATTTTATTGAGTCATCCTTGTCCATTTTGAAGGCTTCTCACTTTTAAAACTGTTCACTAAGAGAAAAATTTCAAAACTGTGAGACACTTTGAAGAAAAAAGCATCTGTGTTTATCTAGCGTTATTTTTATTTACCGCAAAGAAAACATATTGAGTAACTTATTTTTATTAAATTTCTCCAGGATGTTCAAGTTCATAAGCTCATGAAAAAAAAATCTCATTTGTTATGGAAATATGTTTTTTATTATTAAACATTGAGTAAACCTTCTACAATAACAATACAAATTAAATAATAGTGGAAGATAAATTAAAATTAAATTTTCTATGTTTTAATTGAGGCAAGAGACTTTGAAATGTGCATCAACAAACTTTGAGGCACAGCCTCATGCAAGGACCGTTGAAAATTAGGATGTGTCATTATATATCCTATTAAGGATTTTCCTTGCGATCTTGCCTCTAGGTTTCCATCGGCCAAAGCGTTTGCTCCAGCTAGAAGAACTTTGTCTTTTAGTTCTTTGGGCATTTGGAATATACGTTCAGCGCCTAGTCTTTTGACCAAATCACCTGAAATTAATGTACAGTTTATATAAATTTGTAATCATTTTTTTACCAGTAGGTATTAGTTTTATGTCAAGTTTATGTGAATAATATTTCAGGGAGTGACTAAACCAGCCCTTGAAATAATAATCATTTTGTATATATTTGTTTTTCGAGTGCCATAACCCTTATTTATATAAGTTGTAGTTTTTTAAGCTTGAGCTAAAATTATCGGAGCTAAAATTTAACAGGGTCATATCTATACATCTAATTTTCTTTCAAATTCCAATTCCATTAAACTTTTGGCTTTTGAATCGTTGCAGTTTTGTAGATGGTTTTAAAGATCTTCTATCACATAATCTTATCTGTGTTTGATTTCCCAAAGGCTCTTATTCTCAAAATTTTCCCCCGATTCGTCTTCTGAAACTGAAACTTCAGAGTTCGAATCACTTTCAAGCTCAGAGCTAGATTAAATCAATTATTATGGACGTATAATTTTTCTATTCTAAATTCTCATATTGTTCTATGTGTAGGTTACTCTAGACTTTTAAAATCACTGAGAATGTAGCTCCAATGCTCCAAAAGCTTGTTAATAAGCGATTTCCACTCCAATCGTCAAAAAACTTAATGAAAATTGTCCAGAGTGGCTTCAAAAGTATCTCTATCATCCTATGATCCATTCAAAGTTACTCTTACTTGTTCTAGATTTTTAAAATCACTAAGAATGTAGCTCCAATGCTTCAAAAGTTTTTGAATAACGGATTTCCAATGCATTTGAAGTCACTGTCAACAGTTCTGAATCACTCCAATCGACGAAAAACTTACTGAAAATTATCCAGAGTAACTTCAAAAGTATCTCAATCATCTTATGATCCATCCAAAGTCACTTTTACTTCTTCTAGATTTCTAAAATCACTGAGAAAGTAGCTCCAATGGTTCAAAAGCGTCTTAATAAGCGATTTTCAATGCATTTGAAATCATTCTCAACAGTTCTGAATTACTACAATAGTCGAAAAATTTACTGGAAGTTATCTAAAGTAGCTTCAAAAGTATCTATCAACTTCTGATCCATCCATAGTCACCGTTACTTGATCTGGACTTTTGAAATCACTGAGAAAGTAGTAGAAAATCTTAAGTGACTTCCAATGCATTTGAAGTTACTCCCAATAGTTCTGAATCACTCCAATCGTTCAAAAACTTACTGAAAATTGTCCAGAGTAGCTTCAAAAGTATCTGAATCAACTTATGATCCATCCAAATTCACTATTACTTGTTCTAGACTTTTAAAATCACTGGAAAAGTAGTTCCTAGTTCCAATGCTTCAAAATCTTCTTAAGTGACTTCCAATACATTTCAAGTCACTCAACAGTTTTCTAAATCACTCCAATCGTCTCTTACTTGTTCTAGACTTTTGAAATCACTGAAAAAGTAGTTCCTAGTCCAATTCTTCAAAATTTTCTTAAGGGATTTCCAATACATTTCAAGTCACTCAACAGTTTTCTGAATCACTCCAATCATCGAAAAATTTACTGGATATTATCTAGAGTAGCTTCAAAAGTATTTGAATCAACTTATGATCCATCCAAAGTCACTCTCACTTGTTCTAGACTTTTAAAAATCACTGAGGAATTAGCTCGAATGGTTCAAAAACGTCTAAATAAGCGATTTTCAATGCATTTGAAATCATTCTCAACAGTTCTGAATTACTCCAAACGTCGAAAAATTTACTGGAAATTATCTAGAGTAGCTTCAAAAACATCTAAATCAAATTATGATCCATCCATAGTCACTATTACTTGTTCTAGACTTTTAAAATCACTGGAACAGTAGTTCCTAGTTCCAATGCTTCAAAATCTTCTTAAGTGACTTCCAATACATTTCAAGTCACTCAACAGTTTTCTGAATCACTCCAATCGTCTCTTACTTGTTCTAGACTTTTGAAATCACTGAAAAAGTAGTTCCTAGTCCAACGCTTCAAAATTTTCTTAAGGGATTTCCAATACATTTCAAGTCACTCAACAGTTTTCTGAATCACTCCAATCATCGAAAAATTTACTGGATATTATCTAGAGTAGCTTCAAAAGTATTTGAATCAACTTATGATCCATCCAAAGTCACTCTCACTTGTTCTAGACTTTTAAAAATCACTGAGGAAGAAGCTCGAATGGTTCAAAAGCGTCTAAATAAGCGATTTTCAATGCATTTGAAATCATTCTCAACAGTTCTGAATTACTCCAAACGTCGAAAAATTTACTGGAAATTATCTAGAGTAGCTTCAAAAACATCTAAATCAAATTATGATCCATCCATAGTCACTATTACTTGTTCTAGACTTTTAAAATCACTGGAACAGTAGTTCCTAGTTCCAATGCTTCAAAATCTTCTTAAGTGACTTCCAATACATTTCAAGTCACTCAACAGTTTTCTGAATCACTCCAATCGTCTCTTACTTGTTCTAGACTTTTGAAATCACTGAAAAAGTAGTTCCTAGTCCAACGCTTCAAAATTTTCTTAAGGGATTTCCAATACATTTCAAGTCACTCAACAGTTTTCTGAATCACTCCAATCATCGAAAAATTTACTGGATATTATCTAGAGTAGCTTCAAAAATATTTGAATCAACTTATGATCCATCCAAAGTCACTCTCACTTGTTCTAGACTTTTAAAAATCACTGAGGAAGAAGCTCGAATGGTTCAAAAGCGTCTAAATAAGCGATTTTCAATGCATTTGAAATCATTCTCAACAGTTCTGAATTACTCCAAACGTCGAAAAATTTACTGGAAATTATCTAGAGTAGCTTCAAAAACATCTAAATCAAATTATGATCCATCCATAGTCACTATTACTAAGGCTTTTAAAATCACTGAGAAAGTAGTAGAAAATCTTCTTAAGTGACTTCCAATGCATTTGAAGTTACTCCCAATAGTTCTGAATCACTCCAATCGTTCAAAAACTTACTGAAAATTGTCCAGAGTAGCTTCAAAAGTATCTGAATCAACTTATGATCCATCCAAATTCACTCTTACTTGTTCTAGACTTTTGAAATAACTGGAAAAGTAGTTCCTAGTTTCAATGCTTCAAAATCTTCTTAAGTGACTTCCAATACATTTCAAGTCACTCGACAGTTCTCTGAATCACTCCAATCATCGAAAAACTTACTGGAAATTATCTAGAGTAGCTTCAAAAACATCTAAATCAAATTATGATCCATCCATAGTCACTATTACTTGTTCTAGACTTTTAAAATCACTGGAACAGTAGTTCCTAGTTCCAATGCTTTAAAATCTTCTTAAGTGACTTCCAATACATTTCAAGTCACTCAACAGTTTTCTGAATCACTCCAATCGTCTCTTACTTGTTCTAGACTTTTGAAATCACTGAAAAAGTAGTTCCTAGTCCAATTCTTCAAAATTTTCTTAAGGGATTTCCAATACATTTCAAGTCACTCAACAGTTTTCTGAATCACTCCAATCATCGAAAAATTTACTGGATATTATCTAGAGTAGCTTCAAAAGTATTTGAATCAACTTATGATCCATCCAAAGTCACTCTCACTTGTTCTAGACTTTTAAAAATCACTGAGGAAGTAGCTCGAATGGTTCAAAAGCGTCTAAATAAGCGATTTTCAATGCATTTGAAATCATTCTCAACAGTTCTGAATTACTCCAAACGTCGAAAAATTTACTGGAAATTATCTAGAGTAGCTTCAAAAACATCTAAATCAAATTATGATCCATCCATAGTCACTATTACTTGTTCTAGATTTCTAAAATCACTGAGAAAGTAGCTCCAATGGTTCAAAAGCGTCTTAATAAGCGATTTTCAATGCATTTGAAATCATTCTCAACAGTTCTGAATTACTACAATAGTCGAAAAATTTACTGGAAGTTATCTAAAGTAGCTTCAAAAGTATCTATCAACTTCTGATCCATCCATAGTCACCGTTACTTGATCTGGGCTTTTGAAATCACTGAGAAAGTAGTAGAAAATCTTAAGTGACTTCCAATGCATTTGAAGTTACTCCTAATAGTTCTGAATCACTCCAATCGTTCAAAAACTTACTGAAAATTGTCCAGAGTAGCTTCAAAAGTATCTGAATCAACTTATGATCCATCCAAATTCACTATTATTTGTTCTAGACTTTTAAAATCACTGGAACAGTAGTTCCTAGTTCCAATGCTTCAAAATCTTCTTAAGTGACTTCCAATACATTTCAAGTCACTAAACAGTTCTCTGAATCACTCCAATCATCGAAAAACTTACTGGAAATTATCTAGAGTAGCTTCAAAAACATCTAAATCAAATTATGATCCATCCATAGTCACTATTACTTGTTCTAGACTTTTAAAATCACTGGAACAGTAGTTCCTAGTTCCAATGCTTTAAAATCTTCTTAAGTGACTTCCAATACATTTCAAGTCACTCAACAGTTTTCTGAATCACTCCAATCGTCTCTTACTTGTTCTAGACTTTTGAAATCACTGAAAAAGTAGTTCCTATTCCAACGCTTCAAAATTTTCTTAAGGGATTTCCAATACATTTCAAGTCACTCAACAGTTTTCTGAATCACTCCAATCATCGAAAAATTTACTGGATATTATCTAGAGTAGCTTCAAAAGTATTTGAATCAACTTATGATCCATCCAAAGTCACTCTCACTTGTTCTAGACTTTTAAAAATCACTGAGGAAGTAGCTCGAATGGTTCAAAAACGTCTAAATAAGCGATTTTCAATGCATTTGAAATCATTCTCAACAGTTCTGAATTACTCCAAACGTCGAAAAATTTACTGGAAATTATCTAGAGTAGCTTCAAAAACATCTAAATCAAATTATGATCCATCCATAGTCACTATTACTAAGGCTTTTAAAATCACTGAGAAAGTAGTAGAAAATCTTCTTAAGTGATTTCCAATGCATTTTAAGCTACTCTCAACAGTTCACTCGAAATCGTCGAAAAACTCACTGGAAATTGTCCAGAGTAGCTTCAAAAGTATCTGAATCAACTTATAATCCATCTAAAGTCAATCTCACTTGTTCCAGACTTTTAAAATCACTGAGAAAGTACCTAGTTCTAGTGCTTCAGAATCTTCTTGAGTGACTTCAAAAGCCGGAAATATATCAAATTTTGATAATCAATACACATTTCAAAAAGCTGTTTAGAGTCCAAATTTTCATTATTACTGGTTACTGATTCGCTGGACAATTTTTCTAAGACCAATCAAGAGCCACTAATTGTTTAAATTCTGATTATAATTGACTTTTAAAATAGAGCCGGAAATATTTCGTATTTTGATAACCAATAAACATCTCAAAAAACTGTTTAGACTCTAAATGTTCATTATTATTGACTCTTGATTCGCTGAATAATTTTTCTAAGACCAATATTCTGATTGAGAATATATAAAAATGCATTAGAATTTTTAAGATATTAATCAAGTTATGAACAATTCTTACCTAGCATCCGTATTGCGGCAGCTCTAACTATAGAATTCTGATGTCCGCAACCTTTAGAAGTAATCACCGGAATCACTCTATGCGCAGGTAATTGCTCACACATAACATCCAAAGCAGCATTGGCATCGGCCCTCAAAAACCTATTAGTATCAGCGGTGCGTTGCAACAAAGGACAAGCGATTTCTTCAAATTCCATCTCCAAACCTTTTTTGCAGGACAAAAACAGCTCGGTAGCTGTATTACAAGCGACTCTGGATACTTGAGATCGTAAGTTTTTGATTTGTTTTGCCAGAGAAATGCAAACGTGGTGCATTTGGTGTTCGATTACTTCGGGATGTTGTCTGGCCAGTTTGGTTAGGCTTTGGAGACCTTCCACGGTGCTCTCCCAATTGTTGGGGTTTTCCATTTGGTGCAGGACTTGTTGGAGAAGGTCTTTTGGTTTACTGGGTGGCCGAGGAGTAGGATCTAAAAAATATAATAAAATTTAATTATTTTTAGCAACAAAATATAAAACCTTACCTAGGACAGTCCTGGGTGTTACTCTAACCGATTTTCTGCTGCTATTTCTAGAAAATCTCCGTTCCAATTTAGACTTTGTTACCGTAACCGCTGTTTCTTTTTCAATTTCAAAATCCATTGGTGGAAGTTGCAAATTATCGCAAGTATCCTCTGATGGATAGTTGTTGTTTGCAATAGAATCTTCGTTTCTTGGTGGAGCTGAATTAATGTTTTTTCTACTAAAGAAATATTTTCATTATTGAACTGTAATTGAGTGAGTGAAGCTTTTTACCTGGCCAAATTGATTTTTGGTAAAAAATTAGGCAAATCAACAACGGATTTACTTTTTTGTTTTGCTTCTATTGTAGCAGGCTCTGTTGATGAAGCTCTAGAAGGAGGACGTTTTTCTGGTGTTTCTTGGTTCAAATTCAAAGACTCCACAGAAGGATAATTATCGTGAATAGCTTCTCCCAAACAATCATTCACTTCCGTTGGAATGTTATTCTAATAAAAAAAATTATGTTATTGCAAAAAAGCCCAATAAAGCAAAAGCGCACTTACTTCCTCTTGATTATCCGGCGCACTCAAACTCCCATCACTGACTGCTGACTTATTGGCTAAAGAATCTTCGCAATTTTCTAAATGATGACTATCGGCGGAACTGAGCCGCTCCTCCGTGTCCATTTTAATAAAAGCGGGTGGATGTTTTTCGGGGGGCGAAGGAGTGAAATACCCCGATGAAGATTCGGAACCCGATGAAGCCCTGCGAGGTGGAGCCAAAGACAAACGACTGATTGAGTCATTGTCTTTAGGGGTTTGTTGAGGACTTAAAGCGGATCTAAAAATTAACATTTATAATGATCACTTAATAAAATATGTAGGTATTTAAAACTGGATCTATGTTTTACAATTTCTTTCCAGGGCAATGTAATCACGTTATAGCTTTGCGAGGTCGAACTTTGTGAATCAATGAAAAGTAATCACGAAGGAAAACTGAATAGGTATGATGGAATTCTAAATCAGACAATATTGCGTTGCATCGGAATAATAGATCCAGGTGTCTTATGTAAAAGTTAAAAATGAATTTTTTGAGTTTTGTTTCTATTTTCTTGTAGAGATTTGTGTTGAAGTTCTAATCTTGTTGCGCATTTTAAATACTGGAAGAGCCAAAATTATTCTTTCCAGGTCATTTTGCATTGAATTCAGATGTTTATAGTACCGAGTGATTGTCTATATTTGCACCCACACCTATCTCACCTGTTTGAAGAGTAGTAGTAGGTAATATTAGGAACTTTGCAATTGAGTAAGTTACAAGTACACAAGGTGTGTCACAAAAATGTGGCAAAGCAAAGTTATGCTTTTTCAAATGGAACACCCCGTATTTTAACCTATTTGATTAGCCCTTCAAACCTGATTCCAAATATACTAGGTTTTTTAGGTTTATTCCTCATAGTCCAGCTTTTAAATATCCCTTATTTTCATATATATAATTATTGTTTTATAACGTTCTACATTTTCTGATTCCCGATCTTCAACCATCTCTGTCAATCCAGCTTCTTCTTTGTCTGTCGCGTCTTTTTCTTCCCCCTGGCTTCCACTCAATAATTTGCTTGGGTATTCTTGCATCTTCCATTTTTTGTACATGTCCGAACCAAATCAGCTGTTTGTCCTTTATATTATATACTATTGTGTGTTTTACGTCCATAATCTCTCTTATTCTCAGATTTATTATTCTTTCCATTTTTGACCTGCCTGCCGTTCTCTTCCAAAAGTCTATTTCAGTTGCTTCCAGCATTTTTGCGGTTCTGTTCTTTAGTAGCCAAACTTCTGAATTATCTGTGACTATGCTTTTGACTATGGTGTTGTATATTCTAGTTTTGTTAGTTTTGTTAATATTCTGGTCCCACCATTTAGTAGGGATATTGTGTTATATGCTTTCTTTAGATCTACAAAGAGTAAATGGAGTGGTCTACAGCTGATCTTCCTGCTCTAAAACAGGCCTGTTCTTCTGCTTCACTATCTTTGTGTACTCGCTCTCTATTTTGGCTTTTATAAGTTTTCCGCATACACGCTGCTCAGCGTGTTTGTTACTGCAATTTCTTGGTAATTCTCGCATTTGTTTCTGCCTCCTTTCTTATATATCGTTGTTAAATAGTTTATTTTTCACTCTTCTGGTACTTCATGTTTATCTATGCATTTTTCAAATAGTTTTGTTGGTCCCATACTTTATCAGTTCACCATATATTTCTCCTACCATTTTTCAAGAAGGTACAGTGTTTTTCAACTTCTTCTTGCATAGTACTCTTATTGGTGATCCTGCAGTTTTCATATTTCGTGTCTTTTCCTTTTCTTCTTTCAACTCTGCCCGTTGTTCTGTCAAATTCTTCAAAGTACTCTTCCCAATGCTGGGGTGTTGTTGTATTGATAATATCCTTGGTTGAATATCTTGAATATCCCATTTTGAAAAAATAATATGTTAATCATTCACCATTTATATTACCTTTATATTTTGCTGGTGGTCTCTATACTTCACTTTTTTCAATAAAAATTCAATTATTCCGAGGGATGTCCCAAACTGCACAATCGTGCATATTGATGCACACTTTCAATTTATATGCACAGTATGCACCCTAATCTCTAGATATGTACATTTTGATTTCTAGAATAAATTTGCCACAATTTTTCAGTCAATAAATAGAACACAAGATATTCTGAAGTTGGGGTTTCATTTCAGTAAATATGTACCGAGTGTAACTATACTGTACTCTATACATACTCCCATACTCTACACTCAGTACACTTTTCTGACTGTACTAAGCTGTACGCCACCAAGGATGATAGATGATACTCCCTACTACTACAGGATGGCCTATCTTTATGAGGCCTGTATCCTGTATGGAACAAATCCCCCCAAATCACCTTTGTGACGTAGGCAGTACGTTATTTCTTCTTGACGTAGACTGTTTAAACACCTGACGATTTAGCTAAACGTCGAAAATGGTGACACACCAAGATGGCGGTGATTACCAAAAACGAGGCCGGTAAGCAATCCTGTAGGTGTGTATCATCCTTGGCACGTCACTGCCCAGCCGGCCAGCCCAGTCCAGCCTGCTCAACAATCGACCTAATACAAAATATTGGTAATCCGAACTGGCAACGTTGTAAGAATAAACATACATATTGGCAACCGACAACATTACAAAGCGGGGATGCACAATGCACATTTTGTGTCAGATAAGTCCACTTATTACACTGTCAAGTGCACCTTTACAAATTCGCTCGGAACATCCCTGATTATTCCATTCCTTTTTTCCTTATTTTGTTCCGGACTATTAGGAATAAACCTCAAATACCTAGTATATTCGAAACTAGGGTTGTAAGACTTATCCAATGCGTCAATAATAACGGGCTAGGTATTCCATTTAGGAAAGTTTAACTTTGCTTTGCCACACTTTTGTGTCACACCCTGTATATTTGTAACTAACTTATGGGCTGACAACGTAAGGACTTGCATTTATGTACGAAATAACAATAACTACGCATGTTACAACTCCCAATTTTCTTCGAAGTTTTTTAACAATTCCATTGAAATTTTTCCCCTTCTTGTACCGGAGTTCAAGAGAAAGTAAGGGATGAATAAGAGGAAGTAAAGGGAGTTTGAGAGGCTTGTTGCATACTGTGAGGCCAACCGATGCAAACTCCCACATGTAACAAAACGCCCCTAAAAATCTTTTTATTTTGCTTCGTAATACAATTATTTGGTTTCTTTACCCAGCGAGATTAAGTCGCTAAATTTCTGACGAAACCGTGTCAAGAGCCAAGGGTTATCAGTCGGACCCCGAAAAAGTGTCCTAATTGTGTCTTAAAATACGAGTTTCGACCCCTGGTTTCATGAACAAAACGCATGTTTTGCGACCGATAAGAATCCCAAAAGCGTCATCAAGCTGCCTGTAAATCTCCTAGATTCATACAGTTCTGTAACGAAGTTCTAGTGTTTAGTGTTGACGTCTTTCTGTTGACTCTTTTTCCGAGACCCTAGATAATGCTTCAATTTAAAGTATTTTAATTTATTCATCATGATTGTTGTTTTCTGTCTATTATTTATTTTCTCCCCTGTGTAAAGAACAAAACCATTGGGTTAGCTTCAAAACTCAAATCTCTTTTCCAACATGTAGGTATCTTACCCTGAATAACAAGGCCGTTTTGTCCTTCCCTTGTCGAGGACGCCCGTGTCTTTTCACCCACTAAGAATTATAACCTAGTCTTTATATTTTCTGTATCTCTTAATCCTTAATTTCTCATGTAACTTGTACCATTTAGTAATTTGTACCTATAGAGGAGGCTCATTAATTTCACTTCCTATCATTCCAAAAGCTCTGTATGTATTTTCTTTCATTTCATTTCAGTAAACATTTTTAATAACACACTGTATATTCTTTACATTTCTTTCATTTCCTTACCAAGATTTACCATTTGTTCAATAAACCATTGTTAGAGTTTAGTAAGAAAAACTGATTCTTTTATTTCCTTTGGAAAACCCCGAGCTTGCATGCGAACTAACTGCGTACAGCTCAAGTAGCAAGAACCCGCACTGGAAGAGGCAATCTAATCAGATTACTAAAAAGTATTCGTTCAAATTTACCTAGATTTTCAATGGGACTTTAAAGAAAGTCCCTAATGGCACGCTACCGCAGTACAAAAAGGCCTTTAACAGTGCTAAAACAAAGTCTCCTTTACCCAACTGTCGCAACCAGGTGGCGATGGTAACACACAACATGGTATGGAACAGTTCACACGACAACCCAAGTGGAACATCTTTCCTCGAATATTTGGTAAGTAACAACTTAATATGTACAAATCAAGAAAATGAAATGACTTTCCTTATTGAGAGGCAGAGGGAAGTTATTGGCATTAGCTTGTTCATACCTCGCATAGTAGACGAAATTAAAAACTGGCGATTATTAGATGATCCCTCTGTATCTGATCACAGATATATAATGAATTTGAAATGGTGCGATTTTGAGAAAAAAGTAATGACGCAAAACCAATTGAGAATCATACAGGAGTCAACTGAAGTACAATCTGAGTTCCGTGAAAATCAACATACAACGAGCCATAGTAGACATTAATCTATCAGTGGACCAGCTCCAGGACGCGATCATCACAGTGCTTCCAAGGTCGAAGTACAAAAGAGGAAAATTCCCTGGTGGAACTGTAACTTGAGCAACCTAGGACAAAGATAACAATAGCCCTCATTGATTAAAACAAAACCCAAAAAAAAGCCAAGCGCTTTCTGGGCTATCATCAGGGCTTAGAATCTACAGCAAGATTGGGTCTAAGAGGCACATTTTGCTTTATGAGATTATTATTGCTTTTGAGAAAGATGGTTTTTTTTGTTTTAGCGGTGTCACCTTTTGACAAAGTCTAAGCCCTGATGATGGCTTAAGCAGAGGCTGTAGAAACCAAAATGTAACTATTCTCGCGGATAGCCAAGCAGCACTAAAAGCACTGGATTCCTATTGCATCACTTTCCGAATAACGATGGAGTGCTTCACTGACCTGAAGCAGTTTGCTAAGAAAGAAAAGGTTTGACTCCTATGGGTTTCTGGCCACTCAAGGATGGAGGGCAACGAAAAAATAGATGAGCTGGCAAGAACTGGAGCTGCAATGCCATTTATAGGCCCCAGACCCAGTTTTGGAATATCAATCTAAGTGGTTACACTGGATCAATAGTCGAAAAGACAACATTTGGCCTATTGGAATTCAACACCTAGACAAAACCATGCAAAGGCTGTAATAGAGAGTTCTTCAACGAAATTAACAACCGCGCACATAGATAAGACAAGTGATAGAGCTATTATGACAAGACACTGTCACTTGAGGAACCATCAGCACAGGATGGGGATATTCAATGGACCCACTGAATGCAGACTATGTGGAGAGGAAGACGAAATAACTTCCCACATCATACATGACTATGAGGCCCTATCATCCGTCTGGAAATATTGTCCAAGGACTATTAATACAGGGAACAGAACTCTTGTAGGGCAGGAAGGAAATTGGGGTACACAATAAGCCAACAGACTGTAATACATGAAACACCAACCAACCAACAACCAATATTCTTTACAAGTAAAATTATCATAAAACCCTTGTTGTGCCCTCCTAAAGCTATTTCGGCAAATATTTGTCTGGTATTTTGAACTCTTACTTTCAATAACCGACCTTAAACCCTTCCAATCGATTTACTTTTATCAGAAATTATGTAGAAAAGGTCATTTATTAGAACTGACACCCAAATACGACAGTTAATGGAAGCATAATGAATAATTTATTTCTTTTTTTGTGGCGTGTATTCCAAGAAAACTTCAATAATGATTTTGATTTTAATAAATCTACAATAATTCTTACTTGTCGACATTTTGTGGTGATTCGGTCAAAGAAAAAATCGGCGTTGGCGTTTTCGAGGAAACGTCTACAATCCTTCGGCTACGACAACAACTCAAACACGAGGAAAACTTGCAAAAATTCAAAATAGGCACCAACGGATTTTCTTTTTTCAATCCCCAAGGATTCGCAATAATTTTCGCACTAGCACACATCACAATAATATTTCATTCAAAGTTTAGCTGATTTTGTGTTGTTCACAGGTGAACAATAACAACAAATTTAAACCAAAGTACAAATTAGGCGCCATCGATTACTTCTGACCGGCGCACTGACCTCTGCGACGCCACATACTAATAACGACCCACATTTTAAAAGGAAAATTGTATTTGGGTTAATTTGGTTAATCGATTTTAAAAGCCAACTACGTATTATAGTAGATAACCCCCTTAGAATGAGAATCTTTTAAAAGAAGCTTCATTCAAAAAAACCAATTTTATCACAATTTATTTATTCCATTTCTATTTGCGTGTAACCTAATTAAGTACTTCATATAATTTCTACTCCCCCTTATAGGAACATGTAAATTAACCTATTTTTATTTTCTCATGCATACTAAATGAGTCTATTTTTGTTTCAATGCAGAAAATTAAAAATAAAACAATTAAATTCTCACCTTTTAGCAATCAAAGGTCCCCCAGAAGACACAATCGACGAAGTGCTATGTCTGATTTTCAATTTTGTTTCGGCAATCGGAACTGGAATCGCCGATCGGAAATCTTTACCCCAAAAGCCGCTTTTCGTTGAAGATCCTTTAAACAAATTATCATTAATTTATAGACAAAATAAGTAAAATTAAAGTTACCTGTTGACGTAGAAGACGATCTACTGGATAAGGAAAACGAATAAGGTTCGTGTTTGGAAGGCAATCGGTTGTTGAAGTAAAGTTGATCGGAGGAAAAGCTTTTGCGGAAACCGTGTGGACGAAACGACGGTCCAGATTCTGGATGATAAAGACGCGGATTGAACTCTGAACAACCTAAATTACTATAATTATTTTATTTGCTCGAAACTGAAATTTGAATTCTTACCAAAATGTTTGTTAACATCAGTAAAACTACCACTCATATGATTGTTGTTGTTTTCAGCTGCTTGAAATTGCGTCCTATAAGGTTTCGGAGGTGAAAATGACCGGCCTCTATCATACGTCCTATGACCTCTACCATTTTTTCCATTATCAATGTCAGGTTGTAAAATGTAAACAGGCCGAAGAGAAGTTCCTCTGGGAGCTAACAAAAATACAAACAATAATTTATTTCGCAATCCACTTATCGAATTAAAGCACGCCATTCAAGGATGCTTATTGTATTGATAAAATTAGCACCAATCCTAGTTTTTTTTTTTTCAATGTATGTTAGTCATGTTTTATCCGTGCAACCATGTCGTCGTTCGTTAATGAAGAATACGCTATAAATAAACAATCTCACAATTTCGTCAATAGAATTGAACAATTGGAAAAAAACATCAACAATTGTGTGTACGAGTTTCTGCTAAACTGTGATAAAAATTGTTTGTTAATCGAAACGGAAATGACTGGTGAAGTTAATTTGCTCGTCTATCAAACACTAAGGAATTTGAGGAGAAAATGTCCACATTTAGACGATTACGTAGGCTGGAACAATCAAACTTACTTGGACTGGTTTCAATTGATGGAAATCTTCAATCAACAAGGAGATGTTTTGCCGCAATTCAGGAATTTATTTGTATGTGAAGTGCCTAACGGGATAAATTTGGACGAATTTGTAGAAGTACTTGACAAGATTGTGTTTAAATTAAAAATGGATGATTTTAAGAAAATTATTTTGATTGCTGTGAAGTGCCAGGCATTGGATACACTTAGAGAATTGAGTACTCAATAAATTGTATATTTTATATTTATATCAGCCAGTGTCTTTTTATACACGGGTAAAAACTTTAATTTTTACTTAAAAATCATGAAACACTGAAGAAAATTCATCTTTATCTGAGAGTAGACAAAACTTCTATGGACAAAACTCATGAAAATATTAATTGCCACTTGTGCATCTTCGAAATTGATTTCTATTTCGTATACAAACAAAAGGCAAATTGTATCAATCATCATTTTTTCTATTGCGAGTCATATTTTTTCGTAGAGAGTTACGTGAATTGAAGGCACATTTATGTAACTATTATTATTATTTATATTATATAAGATTTACGTATGGGCTTTCAATATCATATTAACGTGAATCTTATGTCAATATTATTAATATTTGTGAGAACTTTACTGACCCAGGAAACCAGAAAAGCTAGGAAACCCCAACCTTTTTGATTTAAAATCTTTCAAATTGGTATAAAATAATTATTCAAATATGATTTTACACATTCAAGTATAATTAGTAGATACCCATAGGTAGATACTCATAAATATTGAGACATAATTCAAATTTAGAGCCTAAAAAATATAGTACAATGTGCACTGAACCGAGTAGTAGCTATCGTACAAATTATTACAGAGGGAGAATTCTAGAACTTTACCCAGAACCCAGAGTACCAACTTGAAGTACAAGTAGGTATGAAGAAAATATTCAATAGATTCACTTGAAACACAAGTAAAGGGTATCCCTTATAAAAAAAACTCGATTTTCATTTTCCACTTTTTTTCCAATTTTGATATCGATAGAGCGGGTCCAAATTAATGGAAAACAACCCTGACATCATTTCCAAATGGCCATATTAAGCAGAAACAAAAATAAAATGAAAATCCTATTTGGCTAGCTCTGGAAAATTTTCAATCTCTACCCACATAACAAAAATGCATCCTTAGAATGTATTAAGAATGTTCTTTTTTTAGGAGGAATGTGCCTCGAATGTTCGCCAAAACCATTGCGAATGTCCTGAGAATGTTCTGAGAAAAGATTGTAGAAATACTGTTTGCAATACCCAAGAACTTCCTGGGAAATCCATTAGGATATTCCTAGAATATACCTATGGGATTCTCAGTACGTCCTTAAAAGAATATTCCTGTTTGATTCTAAAAATATGCTCGAAACGTACCTATATTCTCATATTCAAAGAATGTTTCTATGACATTATAGTTATGTTCTCAAAAGAATATTATACCAATATGCTTGAAATTTTCTTAGAATATATCTACATATATCATTCTCAATATGCATCCTAGACATAACATTCATGTTTGATTCTATAAGGATATACTTGGAATGTTTATTTTCGCTTCCAAATAATGCTCGTTTCAGCCCTTTTATATTAAAGGCAGTGAAAGAGTTGTTGGAAAACTTCTCTAGAAAACACGAGTATTTAACCAAAGCTCCGGTTTCGAGATTGTTATGCTCTCGTCGAAGCACGCCAACTGAGAGAAACAGGTTCCAAGGTGATTCAAATGCGAGGCAAGATGTAGATCTTTAATAGCGCGGCGCTCCCTCTCTTGGAAGTCATACAAAGCAAAAGAAAAAGCATATACCTATAATATTCTTAGTAGGTTCTAACCGTGCGTTCGGTATTTTGATCTGAGTTCTCCGAGCATAAATTTACCGTTCGTTTAGTTAATAAGTGTACTCGGTGCAGGCTCATTCACGTTCATTTATTGAAATTTCGAGCCCTCTGATACAGCGTTCAACTGCTCTGTGTGCTCGCTGGTCACGTGATTACAGCTCCGCTCTGCACGCTCTGCTCTTTGAGCAAAATAACGAACGCAAGGTAAATAGAGCATTATTGTTTAATTGTACAATTAAGATTTTTGAGTAGGTACTTTAGATAATTAGGTGAACAAAATGAAAATATTCTTATCATGGTTACCTACCTACATAAACTTCTCAGCACAACTTGGTAGGTATATTCTTAATACTTGATAGAGATATTAGCTTAAAGAACATTTTTTAGGGTACATTATAATAATGTTCGTATGAGAATATTCAAATAATGTTATATAAAGTAGGTTCTTAGCACAATCTTTCAGGTAGATGCATAGAAGCAACATTCCTAGTACATAAATAGAACGTTCGAAAATGAATATTTCAATCGAAACAATCTTAGAATATTCATTGAACATTCCTTAAAGAACATTCCAAAAAGTACTTTGAGGGAATATTCTGAGAATATGAATGTTCTTTCACTGTTATGTGGGTATAGACCTAGACCTCTACAAAATTGAGTTTCATAGCCCAAAGATGATTTTTAATCCAAATTTTATCAAAAACTTCAAACTCAAGTTGCTCAAAAACTATGAATCTAGGAATATTGTAAATTACAGGCCATTTAGAGCTCAATAAGAGCAATCAAGGTTTGCATATTTTGAAATCAGAATTCAAAGGGGGCACCCTTATGAAAAACTCGATTTTTTTATTTTTCAGTTTCGCTCAATTTTGACTTTACCAATCGATAGAGTAGGTCAAAATTAGTAGAAAACAACTCTGATATCACTTCCAAATGGCCATTTTAAGCAAAAACCAAATATAAGAAGGAAATCTTATTTTTGGCTGTGGAAAATTTTCAAAATCTTGACATGGTCATGAGCAATTGCTCATATCTTTGTTATATTTCAAGCTAATTAGAATAAATTATATACCATTGAAAAGAGCATTAAATTCTCTATAGATCTGTGTAGAATTGAGTTTGATATCTCAAATAGTTTCTGAGCAATTGACCCTCAAAGTTGATTTTTAATCCAAATTTCGTCAAAAACTTCAAACTCAATTTGCTCAAAAACTATAAACCTAGGAACATTGTAAATTACAGCCCATTTAGAGCTTAAAAAGAGCTACATATGCTGAAAATTTTAATGTAATTTGCTTAATGGTTGCCGAGTATATGTATGTACCTACTTAAAGTACAATTTCAATAAGTACCTAATTTACTTCAAATATTGACAGTTCCGCCTATAAACTTATGTTTTGTTACAAAAAGCAACTGAAACTCAGTTGTATAGTTGTAGGTATCCAAAAATCTCGAAACTGTAGTTTGTCTTAAAAAACTACCTACTTTTTTATACTTAAATGATCAAAAGAAATGATATTTTCCAATTAATCCTTACCAGGTTGTTTTCTAGCCTCCCTATTAATATAAAAGCACAAATTCACTTCCATCTGATGCACTTCACGCACTTCCCAATTGGAAACTAAACCAATAATTAAAAATCACGCACCGGTAAATTCATTCGAATGCGGGCACAACCTCCTTATCCCGCGGGTGAACTTTTTATGCATCTGATTGCCCATATAATTTTCACTCGTTGTGCACGACAAGGTAATGAATGGCCAATTAGTGTAGGTATAGCGTTTTTTTTTTTTTTTAATTAACTGTTTTATGTTTTTACGGTAAAATTTCACTTGCCTTTGTTTGATTTTCCATTTTTGTACCCATTGACGTCCAAGCCAGCATCATCCTGAAAATATCGATAATTAAATCATATAGGCAAACAAATTAATAAAACTCTACCAAAACTGATAAAGGTTTTAAGGCGAACAATCTACAAAATAACATTTTTGCATTCAAGCCTCAATTATTATGACTCAAAATTTCGTTAATCGATATCTGGGTAGTTATGGTGCCGCAGTTTATATCGCATGTTTTCAAAAGACGTCGATAAGTTATAAGCTGAATTTACCTCGTGCCTGGAATTGTGCATCCAATAATTCACTGAGTGAGTGCTGGAAGATGCTGACGATAAAGGAGAAGAAGAAGTTGCGTTGGTACTCTTCAACGGGTCACCTCCTGCTATCCAATCAGATTCACTTTGTTCTGTTGGAGAGGAATATCTTATTGAGCCATTCAAATCTACTGTAGGGAGTTGTTTTCTTGATAACCTAGATAATACACAAATTTAAATAATATAAAATATAACAAATAGGATTTAAATTTTTGAAAACTAGATTCATGAGCCTATAGAATTTGCTAAAAACTAAATAGGAAGCCAAAATTTCATAAAGATACACTCGGTGGAAACCAGAAAATTCAATCAAAGATCAGAATACTACGATGAAATATAAATGCTAAACATGTACTTATAAGATTTTTAGATTCAAAAACTGGAATTTCCTAAGAATTCAGTTGGAATTTGACAATAGGTTACGTAGACATGAGATTTTTCAATAGATGCAGGAAATTTCAAATTTATGAATCAGAGACTTTGTTTAAAACTAAATCAGAAGCCAGAAAATTCAATCAACAACCACAACTTATAGATTCTTGACGTCCTTTTTTCATAGAACAAAATCTTACCTAGTTCTCACAACTTGTATTATTTCATCAAAATCCTGATAATCGCTTACAACAGCCTCGACAAAATTCAAAACTTCTTGCACTGAAGATATTTGAGCAATTGCTGCTAGTGTTTCTAAACTTGCATGTCGCACCCGTCTTCTTCTGTCTCTCAAAGCTCTAGCTGCAAATTCAGCTATTTTAGCTACTTCTACATCTACTCTGGGATAAAGCCTGGCACAAGCCATAAGTATTTGTAGAGCACCTGGAATCATAATATTCAGGTAAATATAATCAAAATCAAGTGAAATTAAATTACCTTCTCTAGTCCTATGACTAAACCCTTTGGCCAATATTTCAGCTTGCAGTTTTTTAGGTGGTAGTTTTTTCATTATCACTAGAGCGCAACGCACTCCTGAGGATGCACCCATTTTACAAATACTCACGCTCAATCTTTGAAGGCATTGCTCTAAAACTCCTTGCCTAATACCACTTATGAGAATAGTCAAAGCATCCTGAAAAGTGAAAAAATCAACACATGATTTAATTATAATCAAAATAAACGTACATCAGCTAAAGTATGTAGTCGATCTCTATGATGACAAGCGAAAAGAGCTTCGAATAGTAGAGCGGCAGGGCCTGGTTCCAATGTTTCACAAGTTCCTGGTTCTTTGAGCATTTTAACTAGGCTCTCCAAGGCTTCGGATTTCGACCAGATTTCGTCCTGAAATTATTATTGGCAACATTGTATTATGAATATTAATCAGTACACCAATTATTTCGTCATGTAGCTACGTTAATAAATTATTATAGGGACGATATGGACGGTCATCGAACTTCTATGATGTTTGTTTAGCCCCAATGGAATAATTAAGTAAATTGACTTGGACGATTAAAGGGATATTGACTTATAGGTAAACATAAAATTGAATATACTTGAATAAAAGGTAATTTTTTTTGGTGCAGGAATTTCAATTGAGAATCATAAGAGTATTTTAGTTTATGGTAATTCATTCAGGTCTTGAACGTCTTTGGAATTTTCTAACGATTCACATCAAACGTTTTGACTGTTCAATTAGTTGATTTTTCACAGAATATACATTTAAAAATCTTGAAAAATAAATTTTCAGAGTCTTTAAAATCAACAAAGCTTCGTATACCTAAGTCATGAATCTTCCATGAAACATTTCAAAATTAAGCTTCAGTGTCAAATTGGCTGACTCTTTTTCGAAAGTCTTGAAAAATGAGGCTTCCAGTTTTAGGATTCTCAAATTTTATAATCCTTAGTCTTAAACTCCAATCCCTTTTGAAGTTTTTGAAAACTTTAGAGTCTTCTCTTTAACGTCTTTGAGTAAAAATTCTAAAAATTACATCTTTATAAACTTAAGTCTTTAGTTTTAATCAGAAGAATCTAAAGTTTTTGATTCTAAAATCTTAAAAAAATCGTCTTTAGAGTAGGTACGAATCTTTAAAATCTCACGTTGTGTCTTTAGTTGAATCTCAAGATGCTTTTTAGAGTTTTGTAAGCTTTTAATTAAAAACTATAGAATATTTCAAATCTTTGAATTTTTCAGCGTTTCTATTATTTAAATACGTTGTATCTTAAATCGGCAGAAGTTTCTACTCTTGATAAATTACGAGTTTTGGGCAACTTGAAAGTCTTTAAAAGATGTTTCAAAGTGTTTTAACGCTAGAATTATCGGAAATTGGATTTTGCTACTCTAGGAGAACCTGGAATATAATTTTTGTGCGTATCAGTTGAAGTTAAGCTCAATCAGGGTGCGAAATGAGCATCTCAAACTGCTCTATTTGAACTGTAGGTAACTTTAAAATAATCAGAAGTCGTAGTTTGATGGTCAATGGTTTTTTTGTTGGGATTTTGTTTTTTAATGCTCCTTTGGGATCCCCCAAACTCCATACACTAAATTATTCCGAGATTGAAGCCGAAATCTATGAAAAAAAGGCACTCAGAAAATTGAAAAATTGGTAAGTTCACCCCAAATTGCTTAACGCGATTTTATTTCTGGAACTATAATGAAATTTTCAGAGATTGTAGTCTTTTCCTGGAATAAGAATCGCTGAAAATTTCAGTTTTCTATCTATAATAGAAAAAAAGTTATGATCTTTCAAAGTTTTCCAAAATCTATGAATCGATGAAATTTCAAATTTTTTTTTCTCGAGAATTTGTATCCTAACGATCAGTTAACGTACTCCAAACTCCATGCACTAAATTATTTTCAGATTTGAAGCCGAAATTTATGAAAAAAGGCATTCAGAAAAATTGAAAAATTGATAAATCACCCCAAATTGCTTAACACGATTTTATCTCAGGAATTATAAGTGCAAATAAGCTGAAATTTTCAGGGATTGTAGTCCTTTAAAAGTGATAAAATTCAGTGAAATTTTCAGTTTTCTATCTATATTAGAAAAAAAGTTATGACCTTTCAAAGTTTTCCAAAATCTAAATCATAAGGTAGGTACCTTCTTACTAAAACAGAAAAATTGAAAAATTGATAAATGAACCCAAATTGCTTAACACGATTTTATCTCAGGAACTATAAGTGCAAATAAGCTGAAATTTTCAGGAATTGTAGTCCTTTAAAAGTGATAAATTTCAGTGAAAGTTTCAGTTTTCTATCTATATTAGAAAAAAAGTTATGACCTTTCAAAGTTTTCCAAAATCCAAATCATAAGGTACTTAGGTCCTTAATTCTTACTAAAACGAAGAATTTTCATTTTTTTTTTGTCGAGATTTTGTATTCTAATGATCAGTCAACATACCCCAAACTCCAAACACTAAATTATTCTCAGATTTGAAGCCGAAATCTATAAAAAAAAGCACTCAAAAAAATTGAAAAATTGATAAATCACCCCAAATTGCTTAACACGTTTTTATCTCAGGAACTTTAAGTGCAAATGAGCTGAAATTTTTAGGGATTGTAGTCCTTTGAAAGGGATAAAATTCAGTGAAAGTTTCAGCTTTCTATCTATAATATAAAAAAATTTATGACCTTTTAAAATTTTCCAAAATCTAAATCATAAGGTACTAAAGCTATGAAATTTCCTTTAGGATCCTCAAACTCCATAGGTACACAAAAAAAATTGAAAATGTTTCAAGCTGCAGCTGCCATAGCTCAAATTTAACGCTAGAATTGTCAGAAATTGGAGTTTACTACTCTAGGAGAGCCTGGAATATGATTTATATTCATATTAGTCGAATTTTATCTCAATTAGGGTGCGAAATGAGTTTCTCAAACTGCTCTATGTGAACTGTAACTTAAAAATGATCAGAAATCGTAGTTTGACGGCCAAAATTGATGTTTTAAATTGCCAGAGCTCAAATTTAGCTACAAGAATTATCGAAACTTGTACGTTATCCCAGTAAACACACCTGTGACAGTTATGTTAATATAAATTTGAGATCAAGTTTATGTAAATTCTATGTAAATTAAAGGTTTGTAACTGTTTATGGTTTATGTGTAATGTTTACCTAATGTATTCACATATTTGTAATGGCATAGACTTAGAAGTTTGGTATTATTCACCAAAAATCAAATTTATCCTTATTTTCAAACAAATCTAGTTAAAATAATAAATGTTTTAATTTGTTAATTTACTTCAGATCTTCCTCTATATATCGATTTCTAACAGTTAAATAAAAATTTATCGATGCACTGACTGAAATCATTATATTTCATTTACGATTCGTGTACGTTGAACTAAATTCACAACAAATGCAGGCCACTTTTGCAAAAGTTCAGACACGTCATTTCATATTGCAAATATTTACTACACCATCGCATTGTACGTGGAATATGATTTAGACACGCTAACTTTCATAAGAACTGAAACATTTTCCATACCGATTATGAACTGGAATAATCAAAGCCAAATCTTTTGCCCAGTCATTATTATTATATTTTTTGGGTCATTTTGTTGACCCAGTTATACTTACGTCACTAGTTAATGAAGACAGTGATTGTTGTAATGAAGCTTTTTTCAAATTATTTGTGGATTTTGGTACCTCAGATTTCAAGTCATTTTCTTTACAAACTGTAAAACTATTATAGGCTGGTTCTTCTTTGGTACCGGGTGAAGAATTCCTGCTTCTATCAGGACTTCTGGTCAAATTATGAAAAACTTCGATTTCGTTGTGTATTGGAATCGGTGAAAAAACATCTTCAGCTCGGCTGTGCTTCAAGATTTTTTTGTTTTGGTTGTCTGGATCTGAAATAAATTACATTCTTAAATAATAAATCAATAGGTAACCTTACATCACGCATATAATAGGTAACCTTTGATTTTTCCCTTAGCTTTGATAAAATGTCGCTATAATAGCGAAATTTCCCTGCTTGTCATATTTCAGCCTCATTAAAATAATCAATTTCATTTTGCATTAAACGGAAGTTTGTAAAATCCATAACTGATTTAAGTAGTTTAATTTTAAAAAAATAGGTATATAATATACAATTCTTAAATTGCGTGCTTGTGGCAATAATAATTTCCTTCTGATAATTCGAAGTTGTCCTTTGCATGACTGCCCAGTTTTAATTAATTTCAGTGCAACAATAATCACAGAAAAAGATAAATTATTTAGCAATTTATTATACTCACCGACGATATTTTTTTTCCTCAATGGTATTTTAGAAGAACTATCCGATAAGTTTGGTGTAGACTTAAAATGTTTGGTTTGATATACACCAGTTTTTTTGGGTGTTGAAGGAAGAGAAGATATTCGCACTACAAAAGAATTGCTTTCTAAAAAAAGTTGCATTAACAATAATAATAATTTACCTGGAATAAGACTTTTTCTAGTCCTTATGGAAATTGCATCAGTAACAGTTATTTTAATTATAGAAGTAGAATCATCATCGTCTTCTGCTTGTTGACTACTGTCACTTTCTGGTGTTCTAAGTTTGAAAGATTCTCCACCGAATCTTACTTTCCTTGGCGATCTTTCGTAATAATCACTTTCACTATCTTCGTTTAGGACTTTTATAACTCCTTGCTTCCTGTAAAAGTTATTTATGTTGATCTTTTTACAAAAATTATCAAGTTCTTACTTGGTGTCTTCTTCACTCTCATTCATTATAACGCTATTTGGTCGACTTTCTTCGTGAATTTTCATTGTAATATTTGGACCAGCTTTTAGAGTAATTTCGGTTTCTAAAATTACTTTATCTTCTTCAATGCTCTCTTGTGAAGTCCAAACTGTTTGATCTTGGCTTATTTCATTGTAATTTACTGGAGAATTGTACATGTCGCACATAATTTTGTATGTAAAAATCCAGAATGGTTTTGAATTATAAAAAAAAGTAGGTCCTTTTTGGGGCTATTACTTATATTTCATTTCCATGGCGTGCAAAGAAAGTTTCTTCTAAAAAATCAATATGTAAATGAAGTCTTTGAAACTTTCCTTTTATTTTATTAGGATATTTTTTATAAAGTTCAGGTTATTTATGATGGTGCATCACTAGATTTAAAACTTCATCAATTACTATGATAACTTTTAGATTGTGCTGAAGCAAAACTATTAAGTTATTAAACTAGAAATAAAACCCAATGCAATTTTTTTCAAATCGTAATCAAAATGTTCAATAATGTAGTCATTATTTAACGAGAAAATTCAAAGAGTTATAATAAACTTAATAAATAATGTATACTTACATTTTTCCCGCCAAAAAATCCAATCGCCAATAAATCAAATCATTTTTATTTGAAATCAAATTTTTACTCAAAAATACAGATTCTAGAAGCACTGAAACCTCAAAAGTGTATTAAGGTTGTGCCCCAAATTAAAAATGCTACAATGTGCGTGTCGTAAGGAGAAACTTCCATTAAAGCTTTCTGGCTCATGCCAAGTGCTGGATAATACTGAACTATAAGCAATCAGCTCTAACTATAGCGTCGAGACGCTATTACAGGGGCGGATTAACTTAACTATATATTTGTAGAATTATTTGTGTATAGGTATGCCTAAGAAAACGTAAATTGCACATTTTGCCGGGGAATGAGAATACCTACCAAACGCAAAAACATTTTTTATTTTTTCAAATTGTAAATTCTTGTATTTTAGACTTAGAGTAGATTTTTTCATTACCTATTGTTATACTCGTCTTCCTTAAAGAAGGAAAACAATATTGTTTTTCCTCCAGAATTTTCGTTAGAAAGAAAACACAAATAAATTTAATACGCTTTCCAGTAATGTATAATTATTGTATTTTCGGCTCTTGAGTGCCTTTACCTTTAAACAGAATGTCCAGCAATTCCAGAAACAACTTCTGGACTATTCTCAGACAGCACAGAGACATCTTAAAAACGCCTTTTAAGATGTCCACAAACGACATTCAATACGTCTTTCAGACGTTTGCTTATGCTTCAAGGCGTCTTCGTATTAATGAGGATTGAAGAGCTTGGAATGAAAAAATTCAAGAGCCTAAAGAAAATTGAGAATTTATGATAAAGAAATAAGGAAAAATCCAAGAGCCTAGAAAAGGAAAAAATTCAAGAATTTGAATTGAAAGAGAAAAATGCTGCTGGAAAGTATTTTGGAACGTTCTAAATGGCTTACTGAAGTTCTAAAGTGTTCTAACTGGGCTTGAAGAGTTCTGGAGTATTTTAGAAGTTTTTCAGTTCCAAAAGTTCTCCTAAAATATATGGGTTTCCAACTTCTGAATTGCTCTAAAATGCTTTTGGAAATTGTAAATTGGTTTTTAAATATTTTGGAGCATTCTTAAATGGTTCTGAAATTTCCAAATTGTGCTGAAGCACTACAGAATACTTTTGGAAATTCTGAATTGAATTTTTAAATATTCTGCATTTTCCAAAAGGCTTATTAAAGTTCTAAAGTGTTCTGTAGCATTTTAAATGGTTTCCAGTTGCGAAACCCAACGTCTGCCTTAAAACATATTTATGACATTTTCCCAAAACATTTTTAATACGTTTTTAACGAGATGTCTTAAAAGACGTCTTCAGACGTTCAGACGTAATGCAGATCTTAAAAAAGAAAAGTTATTCAACAAATCAAGAGCCGATAATATCAAAATTTATATTTCTATCAGCACTGGATTCTGTGCAATACTTGAAACTTGTCTCGATTCATATTAGAAGTTCCAATTCAATGTTCCAAAGAGTTGCCAAATTATTGGCTCATAGTTGTCACCTCTTGATCCATATAAATCTCAATTTTATCAGCCCTCAATATAATTAAAATTGAAGACTATTATCGCTTCATGAGTGCCTTTATCTTTGAATAAATTGTCTAGCAATTCCAAAAACAGAACTGGACTATTCACCTGCAAGGTCCTTATTCTTGAAACAAGGGAGCTACGTTTCCAGAAGAACGAATGTTCCGTCTTTCTCAATAATATGAAAATGATAATATAAGTAACAAAGACGGAACACCTGTTATCCTGAGAACGCTGCTCCTCTGTTTCAAGAATAAGGACCTAGTTGATTAAATAAGATCACACTCTGTCATCTCTGTATATATTTGAATTATGATCATAAAACAATACATAATTATCTGACAAAAATTCATATTTCTGTCAAAAAAATTATTTCCTCAACATGGAAAGCTCGTTATATACAAAACTAAACGAAGACAGTTTTTTGCAGCTGAATGAAGCAGATTTTGCTAAAACCAGTAAGTAGGTAATTTTCTAAAAGCACAAAATAATCTTAACCCAAATAAATATTACCTCGAAAATAAAATATGGGTTATAAGGACAAAGTCGATTGGCGACATCATATTTTCTGATAAATCCATCAATCGTGGGGGACTTAAATAAATTTCAGTCACGAAATTATTTCCCCAATACACGCAACATGCCTCCAAAAGGAACAACACACTTGCCTTTTAACTTTTCCAAAGTATGGGTGCATGTGAGCAACTTAACTTTGACGGTATTTATCTATTAAACTTATATTATTTTAGACACGCGGTTTTGTTGTTTCAGGATTCAATTATGTAATTGAAATATTGAGACACGAAAAATTATGCTTTGGTTCAACTATATCGAGAGATACAGCGCCAATTGGAAAAGGGCTGAGTCCTTTTCAAAAAACAAAAGCCCCTGAATTATTCAAGCAAGGACCTGGAAGCTACGATACTGAACACTATACATCTGCACTATATCCAATACTAAATAAGGTCAGTTTATTATGGAATCACAAAACTTTTTAAATAAATCAAACAAATCTAGATCCGAAGTAAGAGAGGTGTAGCCACTCTAGCAAACAAAGAAAAACGTTTCAAAGAAAAATTCATTCGTACACCATCTCCAGGCAGATATGAAGTAACCAAAAATCTAGAAACCAAACAAGCAGCAGCTCCTTTTAACATTAAATCCAGCTACGGAAGACCAGAAAACAATTTACCAGGCCCGGGCACCTACCACATTGAAAAAACGAAAAAATGCCGTAGGACAAGGTTCATGGACAACTTTGGACACCCTACCATGATTTACGCTGTCGAATTTAATTGCGTTCCAGTTCCAGTGGACGCTTGTCTCAAATGTAAAGAAATTTGCAAAGGAGATTATTGGCACAGAGATTATGCGGTGTTTTTGTGCCACTTGTGCTGGGAAGAGGAAAGATTTATCAAGGAATTGTACACCAAGCAGCAATTGAAAGAGTTTAAGGTATAAACAAAATCGTTTTGAATTCAAGTTTCGATGGTTTTTTGTTCTAGAAAATCCGAAATTGTTCTTTTGAGCACAACCACGAAGGTTGCGAAGCTGCCACCTTGATACTACCACCGAATAAGCTCAAGAAAAAATTGAGGCTGGAGAATTATTTGGATTTGTATATTGACTGTTAATTGAATATTCATAATTTAAAATTCCAAGTATATTTGCAATAATATTGTTTGTTAAATGCAGCTTATTAATTTTAATTTCCAAGTACATATACTTTTTTCACAGAAAACAGGGATTGAAGGTGCCATATTTCAATACCCATGCATAAAAAAATACTTAATTACCTACCCTTGTGATTTCGCCTGTAGAAATTCTGGATGGAAAAATTTGGAAACTGCCAATTTTTTAAATACAAATTATGTAATGGAAAACTCAAACTTTTCAAATATATATGTATAGGCATTTGTCTATTGTTTATTAACTGTAGTAGGTACTTACTGTATATAGATAATAACTTTTTCCAAATAGAGTTACCTATATACAGAATTTTGATGAGTTTCTTTGAATAAAAAAAAGTGACATAATCCCAGTAAACACACTTGTTCACGTTTACCTGAAGTTTATTTTAATTTAAGATTATTTTTTTACTAGCATTTCATGCCAAGTTTATGTAAATATTATCATTAGTATCTACTAAATTCATGAAATTTCAAATTCTTTCATGTAAAGAATTATTTGCATCTAAATGATCATTCGGGACCCCCCCAACTCCATACACTAAATTATTCTCAGATTTGGAGCCGGATTTTATGAAAAAAGGCACTTAGAAGAATCGATAAGTCACTCTTAAAGGCTTAACACGATTTTATTTCTAGAACTTAAAGTCCAAATGAGCTGAAATTTTCAGGACTTTTAGTCTTCTACTGGAATAAAAATCGCTGAAAATTTCAGCTTTCTATTTCTAATAGGAAAAAAGTTATGAACTTCCAAAGTTTTCCAAAATCCAAATCATAAGGTAGCTTACTAAAATGATGAAATTTCAATTTTTTTTATGTTAAGATTTTGTGTCCTCACGGTCCTTTGGGATCCCCCAAACTTCATACACTAGATAATTCTGAGATTTGGAGCCGGATTTTATGAAAAAAGGCACTCAAAAAAATTGAAAAATTGATAAATCGCCTCAAATTGCTTGACACAATTTTATTTCTGGAACTATAAGTCCAAATGAGTTGAAATTTTCAGGAATTTCAGTCTTCTACTGGAATAAGAATTGCTGAAAATTTCATTTTTCTTTCCATAATAGAAAAAAGTTATAACCTTTCAAAGTTTTCCAAAATCTAAATCATTCTTCAGAAACTTAATTATGTTCAAAAATTTGTTTTATTGGAAATTTGAAGGGATTATTTCTGTTCTTTGGAAAAAAATCAATTTTTTCAAAAGCCTGACTTAGGCAATTTAGCAACCTGATTTTTGAGAAAAAGTTTCAAAATTACACTTTCTAGAAATGCGGCTTGGAATAAACTTAGAAATTATACAATTAGTTGTTACGTAAATTTCTACCTCAACTTGCCTCTAAGTGTATTCGGAAATAAAAAAAACATATCACATTGAATATTATTATAATTACGACATTAAAAATCATCCTCCACTACCCTATATCCTATAAAAAATTGAAATTTATTATTTCAAATACATTCACCATAAAAAGTAATACAATTTCTTAATTATTAATTTACACTTTCTTATCCTCACTAGTCTTTCCTTGTCCAACAGGATTAGGCCTACTACTGCAACTAGCCAAGCTAATATCATTACTACCACTTGCAGTATTAGCTCCAGAGTCTGCACAAAAATCCTGACCATAATTATTTGTTGCAGTAATATTTGGTCTAGAATTTTGTTCCAGATTTTTAAAAATCACTTCAATATCTTTGCCTTCATTGGAAACTGTTGAACATCCAGAAACATATCTGTCTGTAAATGGTTTGCTGGCCTCTGCTGTCATTAGACTAAGCTTCTCTAAAAGAGTGTCAATACGGTGTTTGCCTTCAATTAAATGTTTATCAGAAGATTGTAATAAGTTTTCATCAGTTTGAACCGTAATTTGATTCAGTTTTTTAGCTTCATCTTCAAAATTTATCAAATCAAAATCTTCTTCGATGCATAAATTGTTTATATCATGTTCAAATTCGTCAGTTACATTATCGTCGTTGGAATTTTCAGAATCTTCACTGACAACTTCAGACAGCCTTAATCGCAGTCTTTGGGTAATCTCGTCCAATTCTGTAAATTTTCTTTTCAAAGCCCTACTCAAAACCTCATTACCCTCTTCATTTTCCACCATTTGATTTAATGGTAATATTGCTTCAGTCTTCTTCAAAATATTGCAGCTTGTTTTTTCAATTTTCTCCAAAGGAATTACATGGATCTATAAGTAAATTGAATAAATAAAAATAATCATAAACTGTAAAATTAGCTTACATTGATTTGTCCATTACATTTGCCAGAAAAATCCATGATATTGAACCAGCCTTGCACATTAGGTAGCCCCACAGCTAGTACACTTAAATCCAAGGCTGCAAATCCTAATACCAAATCGGTTTGCATGTTGGGTTGTAATACTGCATTGGTACATTTTTTCCATACTTTGAAAATTAATCTTTTCGAACCCTAAAAATGATTGTTAAAGAAATAACAAAAATTAAATGTAACTTACATTAGTTAAGAGTTCTGTTGGCAAACACGCTTGGCAAGTAAAATTCCACTGAGGTTGAGTGCTTTTTGGAAATACATTAGTTATTTGCAAGTTTTCACCGGGTAAAGTCTCAAAAGTCACATAAGTACTGGGCAAAATATTGTCTTCCTGTTTAACATTTTTGAGTCTTTTTGATTTGCTTTTGATTTTTCTTCTACTGGGCAACTGGTTGGCACTGTTTATGTTGATTTGGGCCTTGAAATGGGGTGGCTTTTCAATGGGTTTTTTCGATGGAGGAGCTACGCTCAAGACGGTTTGCAAAGAATCCAGTAAATCGGAGGTTTTTTTTAGTTGGGGCTCGGGAGTTTTTGTGGAGTCAGTATTGGTGCTGCTTTCCACGCAGGGTGGTTTTTGTCTTTGTTCCAAAATCTTCAAAAAAGATGCCAGCATATCTTGTGGATTTTTATCCTCTTTATCCATTTTTATTTCAGACTGAACAGCAATGTCTTGTTTATTTTTAACTAGTGGCTTTTTATTGATTTTAGTTCTATCTTTGAAATAAGTAGAAGGTTGCTTTGAGTCAATAGTTTTTTTAATTTGAGTTGTTTTAATAGGAAATTTGGCTTTAACAATATCGTTTTTGAAGCCTCTTTCAATTTCCAAGTTTCTTATTTGCTCTTCAGTGCCTAGAGCGGTTAATACTTGCACTTGTCCAATTAGTTTGTTATGGTCAATGGAATAAATTGGTTCCCACCAATCAGTGCCAATGATTGGAAGCTAAAAATATATTTCTTAAGATTCTTTCAATGCTTCAAAAGATCAGAATTTACCTTATTACGTTTTAAATGGTTGAAAATTATTGTATTTCTGTAGCCTAAATAAAATTGGTGTAAGGGTAGACGGGTAGAGCCAAATAAAATGTCACTTTGATCTTGTTTTTCCCAAAACTCAATAACCATGAAGTTTTCTCGTAGTTTCAGTAGCAGGCTTTCTTCGTAAAGGAGCGGAATAGTCTGAAACAAATTAAATTATCTAATAGGATTATTGTTCAAGAGAAATGTTTTAATCTGAGAATTGAAGATTCCATGAAAAAAGGCACTCGGAAAAATTGAAAAATTGATAAATCACACCAAATTGCGTAACACGATTTTATCTCAGGAACTATAAGTGCAAATGAGCTGAAATTTTCAGGGATTGTAGTGTAGAAAAATTTCAGTGAAAATTTCAGCTTTCTATCTATGATAGAAAAAAAGTTATGACCTTCCAAAGTTTGCCAAAATCTAAATCATAAGGTAGCTCAGTATCAAAATGATGAAATTTCAATTTTTTTATTGTTGAGATTTTGTGTCCCAATGATCCTTTGGGACTCCCAAATTCCATACACTAAATTATTCCGAGATATGGAGCCGAAATTTACGGAAAAAGGCAATCAGAAACTTAAAAAATTGATAAATTCACCCCAAATTGCTTAACACGATTTTATTTCAGAAACTATTAGTGAAAATGAGCTGAAAGAATCGCTGAAAATTTCAGCTTTCTGTTTCTATTTCTAATAGAAAAAAAGTTTACGAAAATCTAAATCATAAGGTAGCTAGCTACCTTACAACTAAAACGATGAAATTTAAAAAAAAAAATTGCTAAGATTTTGTGTCCTAATGGTCCTTTGGGATCCCCCGAAATCCATACACTAAATTATTCTGAGATTTGGAGCCGGATTCTATAAAAAACGCACTCAGAAAAATTGAAAAATTGATAAATCACCTTAAATTGCTTAACATGATTTTATTTCTAGAACTATAAGTCCAAATGAGCTCAGGGATTGTAGTCCTCTACTGGGATAAGAATCGCTGAAAATGTCAGCTTTCTACCTATAATAGAAAAAAGTTACAACCTCAAAGTTTTGCAAAATCTAAAACGAGGAAATTTCAATTTTTTTTTATCGAGATTTTGTATCCTAATGGTCAATCAACATACACCAAACTTCATACACCAAATTATTTCCAGATTTGAAGCCAAAATCGATGAAAAAAGGCACTCAGAAAAATTGAAAAATTGATAAATCACCCCAAATTGCTTAACACGATTTTATCTCAGGAACTATAGAGAGAGAGAGAGAGAACATACTTTATTGACCAAGAAGTACATATAAATGGAAATCTTATTGTCCAAGCTTAGGTTGTAAACATATTCTTAGTACCTAACTAAAACCTACTTAGAACTAATTAAACTAGTAATAAGTATCTGAAAGAGAGAACAATGTACGACTAAGACCAATGAAATGGGACACATTTAAATAATAAAATATAAAAAGCACAGAGCAAGGAACATTTAAAAATCTTAAAATGAATACATTTATAATTTAAAAAGGAGTAGGCAGTAAAAATAAAAAATCAGGTACAATTAACAAAAGTATGTGGCTTGACACCTATATATTCCAGTCAGAAACAGATTAAAATCAGCCACACAAGAAAAACCGTCACACTCAACACAACAAATAAGTTTTACTAAAAATTATGCATAAAAAATTCATCATACGAATAGAAAGCCAAATCAACAAGAAGAGTTTTACAACTATGTCGAAATTTTTTGAGGTCACTGATTTCTCGAATCTCCAGTGGTATGCGGTTATACATTTTCAGACCATTGTAAATGATAGAGTTCTTGACTAATTCCAAGTTGGGGATGGGTAGGCAAAGATCGTGTGAATTTCGAGTCTGATAAACTCTGCTGTTTGAAAAATGAGAAAGATGTTTATGAATGAGACACACTGTTTCTAAGATGAGGATGCAAGGCAAGGTAAGGATTTTATTTTCAATAAAAAGTGGTTTACAGTGTGCCCGTGAATGGGATTGACACATGAATCTAATGGCTCTTTTTTGTAGGATGAAGGTGGAATTAAATAAATACTGACTACAAAAACCCCAAAACGCAATGCAGTACCTTAGGTGTGATTCAACCAAAGCAAAGTAGGTGGTTCTCGCTACAGATTTACCAAGTTCCCGAGCAGTGACCCTAACACAGTAACAACCTGAGGATATTTTTTTATTTAATGATTTTATGTGGGCGTCAAATTTAAGCCTATAATCTATATTCAACCCTAGAAACTTGGATGAGTCTACGATGTCAAGAATATGGTCTTCAATAGATATGTTATGAAGAGTACAGTTTCTGAAAGTCATCATATGTGTTTTTGAAAGGTTGAGGGATAGGTGATTAGCATCACACCAGGTCTTGATCTTCTTTATATCAGTTGCTATCATGTTATGAAGGATAATTGGATCCTTATGCGACCAACAAGCAGTACAATCATCGGCAAAAGCCCCAATATCTCCCGAGAGGTCAAGGCTCAAGAGGTCATTTATATAAATGAGGAAGAGAATGGGCCCCAGGACAGAGCCTTGAGGTACACCATTCTGGATGAGTTTTTCTTCTGAAGTAGTGCCATTTGAAGAGACCCACTGCGTGCGTCCCGTTAAGTATGACCGCATCCACCCGAGCTCGCTCCCCTGAAATCCGTATATGTTAAGCTTCCGCAGCAGCAATCCGTGATTAACGCAGTCAAAGGCTTTTGACAAATCACAGAAAATTGCCGCAGATGACCTTTGTTCATTCAACGAACCCAAGAGGCCCTCCATAAAATACAAGACAGCATCAGCTGTGCTTTTTTGATGTTGAAAACCAAATTGACTTTTATTTAAGAGGTTGTTTTCATTGAAAAAGTCTACTATACGTTTGCTGACCAGAGTTTCTATGACTTTTGAGAGAGTGGAGAGCAGGGAAATTGGTCTATAGTTCGAGAGAGATGTTGTATCCCCCCCCTTATGTATGGGTTTGACAGTGGCAGGCTTCAAACATGCAGGAAAATGTCCACTTCTAAAAGATGAATTTATGGCATCAGCCAGAGCAGCAATGGAGCTGAGGGAGAGTTCCCTTAGGATTTTAAGGGAGATACCATCATATCCAGTTGCATTTAGATTCTTCCTTGTGTTAAGGGTCTGCCTTATTTCATCTGGATTAGTTGGAAGAAAAGAGAATACATTTGGAACTCTTACAACTCGTAGGTATTCAAGTGGATCTTTATTACTTTGTAGATTTTTAGTAAGATTTTCAGCTATTGAGCAATAGAAATTGTTAAGATCGTTTGGGTCCAAAGGAATGTCTCGAGAGATGGTTTCTGTGCGTCCTGTTATTTCATTAACAATATTCCATACTGTTCGAGACACATTCGTGGATGTTTGAAGTCTTAAAGAGTAAAAATTCTGCTTTGCCTTTTCTATAAGTTTTCTGTATATTTTGCGATATTGATAGTAGTGGCCTTTCATGAAGTGGCTATCAGAAAAGTGTTTGCGCAAGGAGTTAAGGCAACGTAGATTTGCAGCAGAAGTTCTAATTCCTTTAGTTAACCAAGACTTTGAGTTAGTTCTTATTTTTACGTTTCTGAGAGGAAAACATTTGTTTATTAAAGTGCAAACAATTGAATGCAAAGCTGTTAGAGGATCATTTTCATATTCTAGGAAGTTCCAATTTTGCCTGTCACATTCTAGATGAAACATTTGGTAGTTATGACGACTAAAAATGCGTTTTCGAACCCTGTGTTTAGCCTTCTTTGAAGTAAAAAATAGAGGAAGTTTCGCTACAATAGCATTATGGTCAGAAATGGCTGCATCAAGGGACTCACACGTTACGTCACCCTGTATATTTGAGCAAAAATAGTCAATTGTAGTGGCAGAATATTCAGTTATTCGAGTAAATGAGTGAACGTGCATGGTGAGGTTAAATGAGGTTAAGAGGTTAGAGACAGAAGCAGCTACATTAGAGTCAGCATCACTGTAATCAACATTTATATCACCAGCCAGTACTACATGGCACTTGGATGGAAGTTTAACAAGCAGTTGTTCTAGTTTATTTAGGAAACCGAATATATCTGAATTAGGTGATCTGTAAATGCATACCACACACAGGTTTAGTTTTTTCGAGAAAATTACTGAGAATTCGAATTGTTTTTCTTGCAAAAGTTGATCAAGATGATTACATGATTTAAAGTCCAATATATCATAAGCATTTTGCGAGGGGTGTTTCACGATCGGCATTGGTGTACAAATGTTCGGCAATGATGGCGGCAATGAAGGCAGTGATTTAGGTATTGTCGGGCATTGAATGGAAAAATAAGGAAAATTTGCAGCAGTGACGGCATTGATGTCGACATTGACGGCATTGATGTCGGCATTGACGAGGCATTGACGGCATTGATGTCGGCATTGACGGCATTGATGGCATTGATGACGGCATTGACGGCATTGATGACGGCATTGAAGGCATTGATGACGGCATTTTCGACGGCATTGTCGGCATTGACAGAAATTTTCCCAGAAATTTCAATTCCCTTTGGCAGTTGTTGAGTGTTGAGTGGTAGTTGTGAAACGAAAGGTGAAATATTGTGTAGAATATTATTAACAATAATCGGCTAATTGGCATCATTTAGCAGTGAGATTTTGTGGTGATAATAATTGAGGGTGATAATAGAAGGAAAAAGGTAAGTAGATTTATAGATACACGAGTAGATACATGAATGTTTTTTGTATATAAATTTCAACGAAACTGTACATATTGAATAGTATAGGAGATTTCATTATGAGATTTTGGTCGCACCGGCGCATTGCTGACTTTGGCAGAAAGTCGACAAGCAGTGACATAACCTATAAAAAGCAACGTCCATGTTTTGTTGCTATTTATTCGAGTATCGAGCCGAGTATTTATAGGTTATGTGACTTTGTTTGTCGACTTTCTACCAAACTCATGGCGGTTTCGACTGGCTGCACTGCACCTCGGTGCGCACAGTTTGACAAACAGAAATCGCCATAAGGGCGAGTTCAGTTCTCATGATCGTAAGTTGACGTTGACATTTCTGGCGTCAGCACGTGATAAAATAATGAATGCGTGTTATGTTATTTTCTCGAAAAGCAGAACTTATTATGAATGAACTGTTATAAATCATAACTTTACTACGAGCGATATTTTTATCAGATTTGTTCAAAGTTATACACCTCGTTATAAACTCTTTTCAGGTTCTGAGAATAATGGCAAGTCAAGTGGTGGAAGAAACAGTAGAAATAATGGAGTCTCCGAGGGAATCCCCGATTATCAATCCTGTCGAGGAGCCGGTAGAAGAATTTGAGGCTATCTTGGCGAAAGTCCAGATTCCTAAAAATATAAAAAGTCTGTTATCTTACTGTGGATGGAACAGTGTCTCAACATTTCAAAATATATCAGAATCTGATATCGACGAAATGGAAAGATTCGCCAGGGATGATTTATCACAGCTTTTAGAAGGTACCGAATTAAAAGAGTTTTTTGGAGTTTTTGCAAAAAAGCCCTCCTTGTTCAAACTTCATGGAGGACATAGGCAATTACTTCGCAACATAAAAGTAATGTGTAAAGCTACTTCCCAAATAAAATGTTCTAAATGCCTCAGTAAATGCAAATGCATGTGCAAGGATCTTGGCAAGCATACAGCAGGTAAAAAGAGGGTGAAAAATGCTGAAAAAACCCGTGAAAAAAGAAAAAAGGATATCGAACAATGTACAGAAGAACCAAGTAACGTAGAGCAAGACAAAAACAACAAAAAGGGACACAATTTTTCTGAAGCAGAATCAGAAGAACCTTCGGGAGAACCCCAGGTAGAACCTTTAAGTCATCTAAAGCTAGTTATAGGCAATTACATAAAATCTTTCTCTAACAAAATATTGAAGGACAATGACGAAGCTATAAATATTAAAAGCAAGATAGGTAATATTCAACTATCTTCAGATATTCCAACGTCTGCGAAAGTTAAATGCCTGCTGTGCGATGCGAGTATAAAAGTATCCCGTGTGGTGGGAAAATACGGAAAAAAATGGATAACTTCAAATTTCAATCATCACTTTAAGGCTCATTTCAAAGAAAAAAATCAAACCGAGAATGAAACAGAAAATCAAACAGCCAAGCCTCGAAGCAAACTAAAAAATTCTACCTTGTTGGACTACTTCCATGACTACCGAGAAAACGAGGGAAAGGAAAACAACTCTCAAACGAGGTCTAAAAGCAACCTCTCAGAAGGCAGTTCCTTTGACGCCTTGTTCGATCCCAACTTGGACAACGACGTAGCATGCACCCAAACATCGGAAGCAAGCAATTTAATAGGTGGAGAATATCTGGAGGCAAATAATGAGCTGGTCTCGGAGCAGCTTGCTCACAACGATATTTCTGTAATGCAAACTCTCGTACAACCTGGAATATTGCCCTTAGCATTACCCGAGGCATTACCTGATTTGGAGAATAACGGGAATCTGTTTTTTTCACAAGGCAGAACTTCCAGTGAGGCAGGAAGTGCTGCTTTAGAAAAGAGTTCAGAAAATGAGCTCGAGAAGCCTCAAAAACCTACCAAGGATGCAAAGTGTAAATGGAAAGACGAAAAATATTCGCGAACTCAGAGAAATTTAAGAAAGCTAGAGTTGGAGGTTGACCATCAATTAAAAATAACATCATTTTTTGAACTCAAAGACCGTATTGTGGAAGTTTTGGGAAGTAATGAAAACATCGAGAGGAACATAAAGAAGTCGTGTGCTGATCATTATGAATTCGCAGAACTGAATATGAATAACTTTCTGAATCTTCTGATAAAGCATGCAAAGCAAAATAGTTCTTCTACTGCTAAAAACAACAGATTTACCGATGACCTCAAAAAATTCTGTCTATACTTGTTTATCATTGGAGGCAAACTGAACTATGAAACTTTACAAAAAAATCTACAAAATATATTACCATCATTGTCATCAGTGCGCCGATCATTGAATAAGAACCTCTCAGTAATAGAAGGTGTTGTCAGCATGTGTGAACTTAAAAACTATTTAGTAAAAAGAAAACTTCCTCTAAGCGTTTTCATAAGTGAAGATCAAACGGCAATACTGAAAAAGATCCAGTATGACCCGAAGTCCAACAAGTTAGTGGGCGTGCTATTGCCTAAAGATAATACAGGTTTTCCAGTAACTAATAAATTTATCGTATCCTCGATACAAGATATTAGAAACGCTTTTGAAAAAGAGATTATCACAAACAACGCATACGTATTTATGGCTCAGCCCTTGAAAGATAAAGTCCCAGCGTTTTGTTTGTGCATTTTCGGAAGCAACAATAAATTTAGTTATGAAGATGTTATCAACAGATGGACGTTTGTAGTTACTGAAGCCCATAAGTATGGAATTGAAATATACGGTTTTTCGTCAGATGGGGATACTAGGTGTTTGAAAGCAATGAAGGAACTTTGGAATTTTCCAGACAAAAGTCAGAAAAATTGGTTATCGCCATATTTCCAGGTAAGCTCAAGTTGATAGTGAAATACCTGAGGTGATACCTAATTTTTTCTCTTTCAGATGGAGTTTAACCTAAAATCCCCCGTAGTTATTCAAGACACTGTACATATTTTGACAAAGATGAAAACAAGACTTCTAAATCCCAATATAACGTTGACCATGGGAAAGCATAAAATATCTTCCAAAATTCTTGCTGAGATGATTGAAAAATTTTCCAAAGATATACACTGTTTATGCCAGTCTGACTTAGATAGTAAGTTATTAGCTCGGTTATTAGTGAGTTTAATTCGAGGGCGAAACCGCGGAGGCATTTTAATGTACAAGTGGTGGGAATTTCGAGGTATTATATGGGCATTTTGAGGTATTATAAGGGCATTTCGAGGCATTTTGGGGAATTTTGAGGCATTTCATGAAAAGTTGGGAATTTTTGGGGCATTTTCTATAAAATGCCGAAATTTTGGGGCATTTTTTGGGAATTTTGTGAAATATAGGGGCATTTCGGGGAATTTTTCGAAAAATGTCGGCATTTCCGGGAGTTTTGATGCATTTTTGGCGTTTAGGCATTTTAGTGTACAAATTTTAACCCGCGATTCACCCCGCGGTTTGATTTCTATGAATATATATTTTTCCAGGTGCAGATAAGATGAACTTTGAAGCTGCCAAAAAGTTATGTTCTGAAGCTGTGATAAATACATTGCAAAAGTTGCCTGAAAGTGAGGGAACTGTTCAGTATTTAAAATTAATGCAAAAAATTGACAAAGCCTTCTTGGACAAATCGTTGAAATGCAGCGAAAGATTATTTAATATGTGGTATACAATTTTTTTTTTGCGAGCATGGCGGCATTGGCTTTATAATGAGAAACTGTCTGAAAAATCCTTTATTACGTCAAACACCTATACGGGGATAGAGTTGAATGGACATGGATTAGTTATTTTGATCGAGAAGATAAGGGACACTCCAGACCAATTTCTTCCATGGCTTTTTTCAAGTCAACCTTGTGAAAAAAATTTCAGGCAGACGCGATCCATGACGTCTACGTACTCTACAATAGTTAATTTTTCAATGTTAGATATTCTTCGCCGACTCTCTAGAATTCAAACCCTCAATGAAGTTGTTAGTGATTTAGGTTAGTATTAATTCACATTTTAATAGGCAATAACAGTGATACAAAGATAGAAAATATCTCAGAAAAAGCAATGTGATTTTGAGCAAATTTTCAATTATTTAATTTTTTTTAGGGGATTCTTTCAGTTTTCCAAGGGAGAATAATGCAAGACTTGGAGGCGTTGAAGATAAAAAAAATTATGACTTACTCGAGTTGGCTGAAATTGAAAAAATTATTATTGATGCCAAAGAAAATGCTAGGGTAGATGCTAATCATCTTGGGATTGTAGTAACTGATGAACACTTTAGTATCGTTCATTTGAGAGAAAATTCTGTTCGAGCAAATGAGGAGACAGCTGGAAATGCAGAGGAAATTATCGAGGAAATTATTGATTCAGATTTGGAAATAGAAACTAGCAGTCAAGCACTAGAGGAGGAATATATGTCTGAATATGACTTAAATGAACTAGAAGAAGACCTTAATACTCTTCAAGACATAGAGAATTTAAATTTAAGAGATTACAGTGGTCAAAATAAGTCATGTGATAAAAGTAGCTCATACATAATGGTAACGTTAAAAAATGGAAAACAAATGACAGTAAAAAAATCCAGCATCTGTTGGTTTTTCTCAGAAAAACAGGGAAGATTGTCGACAGATCGACTACTTAGAGTTAAAGGCATGTCCTCGGCCACGTCGCAACCTACAACTCGACCTAAAAGAAAGAAGAAAATTCACCATAAAACAGCAGCAAAAAGAAAAAGAACCAAAGTCACTAAATCAAAATCGAGATTAAAATTGAACGAAGCTGAAACTGAAACAGACACTGAAACAGAATATATATCTGATAAATCGGAAAGCAGTGGCGGAGAATTTATGGTAGATTTAGCTACTGAGGCACCTAGGGACACACCTACTACGGAAATCGAAACCGAAATATTAATAGAAACTGAAAAATACTACAGTGTTTATTATGATGATCAGTGGTACCTTGGCAGAATTTTGAACATAAATGGCAGTGAATGTAATGTAAAGTTTTTGATAAAACAATTGGATGCTTTCGTTTGGCCTAAGCAAGAAGACATTCAGCTAGTTGACAAACAATTCATTTTTTATGGTCCGATCGATTTAGTAGGCAGTAGCCCATTCCAATTGAAGAGGGTTGATTTAAATAAAATAAATAAATTGTATAAAGATTTGAAAAGAATGTAACTCAAAAACAGTAGTATATATACATGTTTAATCGAGTGTATAATCCGAGGTATAATCAATAAATCATATGTTCATGAAATGTATTTTTCTATTTCAAAAGTCTCCTGGTAAATCTGAAACTAAACATTTTCTCCAGCATTTTCTCTAGAAGCTTTGCAAATTTTTTGACAGTTTCTATGATTTTCCTCGTGATTTTCCTGGTGATTTTCCAAATAACAAAATCTCGACTAAAAGAAAACGCAATTTTCAGTCTCAAGATAGGTATTGAAAAAAAATGCAGTCATTTACAGAACAAAAGAAAGATTCCTTCAATCATTCAAAAATCTTAAGAAGATGTAGATACATAAAGTTTCTAACAAATATAAGAAAAATATGCCATTTCACTCCCTTGATATGCAATTTAATAATGACAGCAATACTTGCGGCATTGAGGGCAGTGCTGTCGGCATTGAAGGCATTGTTGTAGGCATTGAAGGCATTGTTGTAGGCATTGAAGGCATTGTTGTAGGCATTGAAGGCAGTGTTGTCGGCATTGAAAGCAATGCATCACATTTACGGCAATGCTGGCGGCAGTGAAGGCATTGTTACGACATTTGTCGGAATTTTTTCGGAAATTATAGCAAATCGGAAATTTTTGCAGCAGTGACGGCATTGATGGTTAGCAATTAGGCAGTGTTGTTAACACTGCCTAGCAATTAGGCAGTGTTGTTAACACTGCCTAATTTTGGCAGTGGTGTACAAATTTTTGGTAGGTGAAACACCCCTCGGCATTTTGGTTGATTAGGACGGCAGTACCTCCATGTTGGCTTATGGTATAAGTGCAAATGAGCCGAAATTTCAAGGGATTGTAGTCCTTTGAAAGGGATGAATTTCAGTGAAAGTTTCAGCTTTCTGTCTATAATAGAAAAAAAGTTATGACCTTTCAAAGTTTACCAAAATCTAAATCATAAGGCGAGTCATAAGGTTCTTACTAAAACGATAAAATTTCAAATTTTTTGTTGTTGAGATTTTGTATCCTAATGGTCAATATACATGCCCCAAACTCCATACACTAAATTATTCTCAGATTTAAAGCCTAAATCTATGAAAAAAAGCACTCAGAAAAATTGAAAAATTGATAAATTACCCTCAAATTGCTTAACACGATTTTATCTCCGGAACTATACGTGCAAATGAGATGAAATTTTCAGGGATTGTAGTCTCTTGATTGGGATGAAATTCAGTAAAAGTTTCAGCTTTCTGTCTATAATAGAAAAAAAGTTATGACCTTTCAAAGTTTACCAAAATCTAAATCATAAGGTAGGTACCTTCTTCCTAAAACGATGAAATTTCAATTTTTTTTATGTCGAGATTTTGTAACCTAATGGTCAATTAACATCCTCCAAACTCCATACACTAAATTATTCTCAGATTTGAAGCCGAAATCTATGAAAAAAGGCACTCAGAAAAATTGAAAAATTGATAAATCACCCTCAAATTGCTTAACACGATTTTATCTAAGGAACTATAAGTGCAAATGACTTAAAAATTTTAAAAATATAAATCATAAGGTTGTTACATACAGCTGAAATCCTTATAATTTAACACCAAATTGTAAAGTAGGTAATTGTTAAATAAACTTATCATCAATGATACTCACCTGACAAAAATTATAAAGCGGATCTGAGCTATTAAACACTATTCTACTAGACGAAGTATCATTTTGGCAGTAAGGCTGGCATAAAATATAAGAGTTAAGTCTCAAATTTGCAAAATTAGCTTCTGACACATAAAGAAATCCAAACAATAATTCTCCCTCAAACTCCTGACTCGATTTTTCAACTAAAGGAATTTCTTTTACAGGCTCTACAATCGCTGTAACCTTATTTTCTACTAAAGTTTTAGCTACATTAGTTAATTTTTCCTCTTCTGAAACATCTGAGTCATTATTTTCAGATTCTTTCTCATTAAATAAAACAGCATCGACAAATTCTTGTCCGAAATACAATTTGCCAGCTCCCAATTGTAAAGTTACTTTAAATGTACCAACACTAATGGGGGATTCTTCATTTAAGTGTATTGGCAAGGATTTTCCACATGAAGCATTTTTGGTATGCTTAAAAACCCCTAAATTCAATTTACTAATTCCTAATAGTTGCGATTTTGTTTGTCCTTTTGTTTTGTATTTTATCAAAAACGTTATATCGTAGTCTTCTAAGTTGTGATTGTAAAAATTGCACACTGAGTGGATGTAGGTTTGTTTTATGTGAATTACTGTAAAAGAAGTAAAATTATTATAGGCAAAAATGAAAATCTTCACTAACCATTATTGGTAGTTCTTTTGGCACAAACCCTTACGTGACCACTTTCCAATCCGCTATCAGTTTTTGATTTGGTTTTTATATTCCTAGTGAAAACTTCTGGTATATAATATTCAATAAAATAAGTTTCATTTAAAGTAGAATTAGTTTCTTTTGTATTGACCTTTTTATTACCAAAATCATTCAAACTTAAACTTTGTAAAATTACTTTTAGGGAATCTACAAATTTGAATATAGTAAATTCTCTACGTAAATTGCTACAATTTGGAGTTCGTCTTAAATCACAATTTAAATTGTTTATGGAATATGCTGTACAAGTGGCGCAACAGCATTTTGATGAAAGTGTTTTTTGGGTTGTTTCACATACATCGGATACAGGCATTGATCTTATTGTACTTAAAGCTAACTCTTCTTGGTCTTTAGTCAAATAATCCCCATTTAAAAATGCTTCTAGTAATTTTGAATTTTTTTTTGGGTTTTCATTGGATAATGTCGTAGCACTATTTACTGGAGTATTGTATATTTTATTATTATAAATAATATCTGCTGAGCTCATTGGGTCATTTTGTAATATCGATTGTACCATTGAATTTCTTAGTTTTTGCCCTTGCTCTAGGATTTTGTCTACCAATGATTCTTTGACTCTAGTGAAATCTGCACACATTTTTCACTTGGGAATATTAATTATTTAAAAATTATTATTAAAAACTAAAAGGGCACGAAATTATTCTAATTTTGAAAATATCAACACAACAAAAATTGGAGAGGGGGGTTTTATTGGCCAATCAAATGCAAAAGTAAAAGACAGACATGTCAAAGTCAGCTGATTGTCCACCAGTGTTGCCGTTTGTAATAAAAACAAAAATCCCTATAGAATTATTGTTAAAAAAAAAAATATAAATAAACAAAATAGATTTGTTTAAATAAATTTAACAAGAGATTTAATATTAAGATAAGTAATTAAATATATTTTTTTTTAACTAGTACCAAAATAAACAATATTATTTCAGATACAAGGCAAAACTTCCTATAAATAGGGAAATGTAAATAAACTTTTACCTGGATTAAAAAAGTCCCAAAAACTTAAACTAAATAATAATACAATCTATAAAAGCATTTTATACACAGAATTTTCCACTTTTTCACAATAATTTTACTCTTGATAGGTTTTATGTAGGAAAAGCTTCTTCGAACAGTGTTGCCAAATCAATGGAACAAAAGAGAAAATCCATAGTTTTGACATAAAAAAACAAAAAAAGGACGACATTTCTCTGACAAATCCAACATAACCTCAAAAAGTGCTTTTTGAAAAATCCTTTCCACTTTTTCCGATTTTCATTTTCAAATAGTTTTAAATTATTCTTGTATATATTAATTCACATTAAATTATCCTCAAATTGATTATTCTCTATTGAAAAATAACTAGTTACATTTTTCATTTTACACACAAGGTGACTGATTTTCGAATAAAATTATGAATTTTGTCAGGTAAATGCCAGAGCAAATGACAAAGTGGACAGATTTTTTGGAACATTTTTACAAAATATTATAAAACGTTATTATAGATAAATAATGTTTCGTGCCAGACAAGTATTTAATATCAGTAGGTTTGTGCTGAACAGGAGTGCTTCATCCGTTGTTTTGTATTCGAGGAATCCACAGCTACAAAGTAAGTAAATTTATATTATATTCGTAATACATACTGAACCCTATTCTAATAATATTTGCAGTAAAAATTTCAGTTTATTTGGTATGTGCAATGTAGTGTCAAGTAGTACCTACTGAAACCCTCCAAACTCCATAAAGCATATCTATAACATAGATACCTCAATAAATACAAATACCTAGTTGAAATTTTAATACCTTAGTACAGAGCTGGGCAGTAGTTGAGTTCTTCCTGTTTACCAATGGCCCCTTGTTGACAGCCAGAATCCTATCATTTGTGTTCTCTAGTGCATCGGAGTGGGGCAACCCCACTCGGCAATAGTTTGGGTTTCGATTGAGGATAAGTAGGTAATTTTTTGCCCTGGCATGTACAGCGGGGAATTTGGAAACACCAAGAAAATAGGACTAAATAGGATATGTGCCTAAAAAAATGAACCTGTAACAATCAATCACATTATATAAGCATTAGCACCTAACAGCATTCTAAATCATGGGGCACACCATATACAACTGGGGGTCAATTCTTGAATATTTTCGTATACGAAAATTGAATCGAATTCGAATGACAGCAACGTAAATTGAATCGGGAACATTCGAAATCATATCAATTTTCGTATGCGAGATTATTCAAGAATTGAGGGCCTGTAACCTGTAACCATAAACTGCTGCTTATTTTCAGATTCTTACATCAAACTTCTGTTTGAGCTTGGTTTGTCAATAAGGAAGATTCTGATTGTAACAAGCATTGAAGTTGAGCGCACCCTGTTGACCTCGTCCCCTCTAATGGCTACTTTGCTGAGCATCAACTTTGTACTTAGTGGTTTCCCTCGCTTTATCAATGGCATTTCTGCCGCTTCTGATAACAACACCATTATGGGAGACTCTTCATGCAGCCAGTCATCACTCTCAAGGCCTGGTACTGAATGCTAGAATTCATCTTGCCACATCCCCGCTAACTCAAAAATCTATTCACTATAAGAGTAAAAAAATGTTTAATCACTTACCTCATAGGTACCATAAGAATAATAAAGGAGAGTAGATATTTCAAGAGACAGGTCAAAAAATTACTATCGGCTAAGGCTTTCTACTCTGTAGAGGAATACTTCTTATCTCCTCTGTCTACCTGGATTAATAATTTTGAGTTTTAATTTTTAATTTCAAGTTTGTTTTTAATTTCAATGTTGAGCAGTCTTTTGATCTTGCTTTCTGGCTCTTAACGTTTCCCTTACCATTAGGTACTTGACTAGTACAATATGTATACATTTTATCCAGTTGGTTTTATTTTTGTTGTGTAGGTATTCTCTTTATTTTTAAGTGGGTACCTTGAGGGGTACCTACTTTATTGATGAGTTTGTTGTTATCAAGATTTGTATCTTTAAACAATAAAGCATATTTTGATTTGATTGGATTTATGTGGTACATTGTTGACAGCATAATATATTTGGGTCAACGCCCCGCCAGATTCTTGTGTTGTTCTCATTGTGGTAATTCCTTTCTGCGCCTTGTTAGTCACATATTTAAATGTGTTTGTCGAGGTGTTCGTTCCACTTCAACTTCCTGTCCAATATGACACCCAAGTACTTATAATTTTCAACCCACTCAATTCAATTTATCCATTTAACACCCTCATATTTGTTATTAGATTATTTATGCTACCCTTGGAAAACAACATAGCTTTAGTTTTTTCTGTTGAAATATCCATGTTATGGCTATCCTGTCAATCTATTCAAAGCAACATGCACTTTTCTTATACCTTCTTCCACCTTTTTACCAGCTGCAAACATTACAATATCATCGGCATATTGCATTGCACAAACCTCGCCAGCCACGATTTCCTAAGAATTTCATCATCATAAACAGCCTGAATGTCTATGAAGGCACATAATACTATCCTCGATACTATCACTTCATTATTGGTAAATGCTGTGTAAATTGAATAAGCTAAAATGACCAGATTGTCTATGGTCCATTTTCCTTTTCTTAACCCATTTTGGACTACATTGAAATACCTAATCTTTTTTCTCCAAGAAATATTGTAAATGTGTCTTCACCATTAATTTACCAAGGCACGATATCAAAGCTATTGGTCTGTATGCTTCAAAGTCTTCAGAGTCTTTCTTGGATTTTTTAATCGGGATGACGATTTGGTTTCTCCAAGCCTGCGGAATACCTGTCTCCTGTCTTAGGATTCCATTGAAAAGTTGCAACAAGGTAGTTTTCATAAAAGGCGGTAGTCTTGACAACATAGGGTAAGTAATTCCGTCTTTTCCTGACGCTGTATCCTTTTTTCCTTGGAGGATCATATCAGGCTCCTCTATGCCTAATTCAATGCACTCATCTTTAATCCGATTATTCACCAATAGCTCTGGATTGCTGCTGACAGAAGGAAGGGCTAGCGTATTCAGTAGGTCTGTCACCCAATCTGTCTTATCTGTGTATTTGACTTCATTCACTTTATTGCAAGGGGTAAACCACTATCTCAGAATTGGTGCAAACAATTCATCAAAGGGGAATTTTTTTCGCATAATTCCTCAAAATTCCTGCAAATTCCTCCAGATACCCTATCACAAATTCCTTCTAATACCCCACAAATTCCTCTAAAAAAAGGGAAAACTTGGAAACTCTCTGCATGTAAAGAGGAAGGTGAGAAGATCATTTTCCCAAAATTTAAAAGTTTTCCAGTGGAAACCAGTAACATGAAAGATCTTGGAAATCAACCTACACAAACTGAATTAGTTGAAAATACAGTCTCACGCATTTCAAAATTTTGCTAGAAAACTAGTGAAAGGAACATTTTGAAACTTTTTGCATGTAAAAAGGAAGGTGAGGAGCTCAATTTCCCAAAATTTCAAAATTTTCCAGTGGAAAACAGCAACATGAAAAATCCGAGGAAAAATCTTAGAAATCAACCTAAAATAACTGAATTAATTGAAAATACAGTCTCACACATTTCAAAGTTTTCTTGGAAAACTATTGAAATGAACATTTTGAAACTTTTTGCATGTAAAGAGGAAGGTGAGACGCTCATTTTCCCAAAATTTTAAATTTTTCCAGTAGAAAACAACATGAAAAATCTCGGAAGTCAACCTACAAAAACTGAATTAGTTGAAAATACTGTCTCACACATTTCAAAGTTTACCTGGAAAACTAGAGAAGGGAAAATTTTGAAATTTTTTGCATGTAAAGAGAAAGCTGAGAAGCTCATTTTCCCAAAATTTCAAATTTTTCCAGTAGAAAACAGCAACATGAAAAATCTTGGAAATCAACCTACAAAAACAGAATTAGTTGAAAATACAGTCTCACATATTTCAAAGTTTTCCTGGAAAACTAGACAAGGGAAAATTTTGAAACTGTTTGCATGTAAAGAGGAAGGTGAGAAGCTGATTTTCCTAATATTTCAAAATTTTCCAGTGAAAAAAAAGCAACATAAAAAATCTTGGAAAACAACCTACAAAAACTGAATTAGTTGAAAATACAGTCTCACACATTTCAAAATATTCCTGGAAAACTAGTGAAAGGAAAAATTTGAAACTTTTTGTGTGTAAAGAGGCTCATTTTCCCAAAATTTCAAATTTATTTAGTGGAAAATAACATGAAAAATTTTGGAAATCAGCCTACAAAAACTGTATTCCTTATTCCTTTGAATTTTTTAAATTTGGACCTGTAAATCATGTAGTGTAATTTTGGGAGGATTTCTTTAATAAGAATGAATATCCAACACAAAATGAATATTGAACACAAAACTAGATTTTTTTTACAGTTAACATATTACTATTTTTGTAAGAATGTGAACCTCAGTGACGTTATGACCCTACAATTTCCTTCACTGATGAGTTCCTTCAAATTCCCCACAAATTCCTCTAAATTCCCTACATTTTTGGTAAAGAATTCCTAGGTGGTTTGCCCCTTGTAGATAATATTACCATTTTCAGTTATTCTCTTTTTTAGCCTTCTGGCCTCAATGACATTTGTAACGAATTTTGTATTCTCGACTATTCCCTCTTCTGATAAGCCTTCGTACATACCTTTGGCTATTCCTTTGCAAGTGACTAGGCTAGCTGGAATATATGCATTAAGATTTTCTTCTAATAACATTTTATTAATTAAAAATTCGTTTTAAAAACTAGCTTGTGGCTGTAGGTTTTGGTAATGTTTTCCATGTATTCATAAGCTACTGTGACACAAAGTACCCCAGCTACTTTTAGTACTTAACTTAAACTACCTTGGTGAAACTAGCTCTTAAAATAGCTAGTTTCACCAACAGCCCAACTTTAACCATAAGACAATGGTAACCAACAATATATCTGTTTCATAATGTGTGGTTTAGCCAAAACCATTGGTCAAGCTTCAGATTATTCAATGTGTTCAACCCGCAACTATGAGTCTGATAACCAGTACAGGTTACCCTCGAGTTTACCACCAATTGTGAAACTGGACCTAAGACGCTCTAGAGCAATTAAGAACTTTGTGAATCTCTAAGAACATTGTAAAACGTTACAGAACATTTTTTGGAATTTAAAAGACATTTTAGAACCGACCAGAACACTTCTGAAGTTTTTGCAATATTTTAGAAAGCGAAAAGTTTCAGAATACGCTCGTGCCACTTTGGAACATTTCTAAGCATTCTGAAGGCCGGTTTTTCAATAGCAGGTCACCCCCGTGTTGTGGATAATTCCAGGGTAAACATAATAACTAGACACGCTTACCATGGAGTTGAAACTAACCCGGAGGTGACTCGCTATCGAGAAACCGGCCCTGAGACACTCTAGAGTACTTAAGAATAAATTTAGAACTTTCCTAAGCTTCAAAAAACTTTCAATTTTCCTACATCTGTTTGAGACAAATTAGCGTTATCAGGAAAATTGTAGAACACTACAGAACACTTTTGAATCAAATTAGAATTTCAGAAACATTCTAGAACTTACCAGAACATTTCCGAACTTTCGGAAATACATAAGAAAGCTTGAGATACTTTAAAGTTTAGGTTTAGTTCAAAATTCAACAAATTTTCTGTTTCAGACACCCTACATAAACTCACCCTAATAAGTCAACACCGGTTCAGTAGCGATGATGGCAAAAAGGTAGGATCCGAAGACGGTTCCATTGAATCCCATCCTTCCGCAAAGCCCAAATCCCATAAACCTCCTCAAAATTTAAAATTGAAGGACATCAAACCAGTGGAAATTAATCCTTGTAAACCTCATTTCATCCCGCGGGTATTGAAAAAATATTTTTTTAAATACATACTAATTTATCAATATTTTTTACTAGAAAAAAGCTACAATTCAACAATGCCTACCACCTAAAACACTTTCTGAGGCAGAATGTCCCAGCGAAGAGAAACCTAAGCCTAAGAAAAAAGGACGCGGGTTGTATATTTTGGGGGTTTTGTTAACAGCAGCCTCAATAGGAGCAGTAAGTTACCTATATCTCAATCAATTAAAACTAACTTGCATTATTTAGGTCTATTATTTTATGGGCCGACCCGACAAAACAAGACCCAAAAAAGTAATTACCAGGAAGAAAGTTAGAAAGGAACGTGAAGTAATTAAAATCCCTGCCTCCTCTAGTGACATTCCCAAGGATGTACCTTATTTGTTGATTGGCGGTGGAACTGCCTCATTTACAGCTTTCCGTGCCATCAAATCATCAGACCCACAAGCAAAAGTATTAATCGTTTCAAATGAACCGTATTACCCGTACATGAGGCCCCCATTGTCCAAAGAAATTTGGTTCAACGACGACAAAGATATCGCTAACAGTTTGATTTTCAAACAATGGAACGGTTCAGAAAGAAGTCTATTTTATGAGCCTGACGATTTTTATTGTGACTGTAAATCTTTGATGAGCACTGAAAATGGTGGAGTTGCAGTAGCCCGTGGCTGGAATATAACTCATTTAGATGTTATGGAAAAGTTGGCTTATTTAGAAGATGGTTCTGCAATTAAGTATAATAAGTGTTTGATTGCTACAGGTAATAATTATATATGATTGTAAAGAATTTATAATAGAATATGTTTTTTATTAAGGTGCAATGCCTCGCCTAACTCCAGTATTTGAAGTGGCCCTTGCAGATCCAAACATAAGAGATCACATTAAATTATTTAGAAATGTTGATGACTTCAGAGATGTTTTTGAAGCTTTTGACCAGGCAAAATCCGTTGCCGTAGTTGGTGGTGGGTTTTTGGGAAGTGAATTGGCTTGCGCTTTTGGCAGAAGAGGTTTGGACAATAATTTATTTATACATTTTTGTATTTTATATTTGTTTTATTTTAGACAAAAAAAGAAACAAATATATTTATCAAATATTCAGGGAAACAGGTAACATGGGCAAAATTCTGCCGGAATATCTCAGTCTTTGGACGTCAGATAAAGTGAGAAATGAAGGAGTTCAAGTCTTGCCAACCACTGAAATTGTTGGTGTCAAAGCTAAAGATGAAAAAGTGGAATTGACGTTGAGTAGTGGTAAGACTTTGGTGGTTGATTTTGTTGTTTGCACCACTGGGGTCGAACCAAATACGGAGTTGGCGGAAAAATCAGATTTGGAAGTCGATCCGGAACTGGGAGGTTATTTAGTTAATACTGAACTGCAGGTAATTAACTCTATTTTAAGATTCACTTATAATCAAAATTTAAATAATTAGTGGCTCTTGATTAGTCTTCAAAATTATCTAGCCAATCAAGAACCAGTAATAATGAAAATTTGGACTCTAAATAGCTTTTTGAAATGTTCATTGGTTATTAGAATTTAAAATATATCCAGCTCATAATTGACTTTATTTTAAGAGCCAATCATAATTAAATTTTAAACAATTAGAAAAATTATCCAGCGAATCAAAAACCTCTAATAATGAAAATTTGGACTCTAAAACAAACTCTAAAGTTGTTTTTATCCAAATTATTTAATCATTAATTTCTTTTTAGGCCAGAACAGATTTATACATTGCGGGCGACTGTGCCTGTTTCTATGATCCACGCCTGGGACGTCGTCGTATTGAACATCACGATCACGCTGTAGTTTCTGGCAGATTAGCTGGTAAGATAATCATTCTCAAAAAAATTAATTCATCAATAATTAATTATTATTATTAGGTGAAAACATGGCTGGTGGCCGTAATCCTTATTGGCACCAAAGCATGTTTTGGAGCGATCTAGGACCAGATGTTGGGTACGAAGCAATTGGTATTGTTGATTCCATGCTGCCCACTGTTGGGGTGTTTGCCAAACAAACCGACAAAGACACACCACAACACGTTGTTGAAGAAACTGGCGAAGGAGACAGATCCAAGACTGAAGAACTACCTCAAGAATGTGAAAAGTACCTATCTGAAGAAGAGAAAAAGAAAATGAAACTTGTAAAGAAAATGCTTCCTAACAGTAATGAAGGCGAAGATTATGGCAAAGGAGTGATTTTCTATCTGCGCGACGATGTTGTGGTTGGCATAGTTTTGTGGAATGTTTTCAATAGGATGTCGATAGCCAGGCAAGTTTTAAAGGATCAAAAGAAATACGACGATCTAAATGAAGTAGCCAAGTTATTCAATATCCATGGGGACGAGTGAGGCAATTTGAAGTTATATATACTTATAAGTCATTAAAAGAACAATAGAGTGCTCAACAAAATTTATTTTAGGTTAACAAAAAATACATAATAATAATTATTGTGATAGTAATTTGATACAACACACAAATATCTTTAATTGCCATACAAGAGAGATTCCTCTGGACATAACATTTACTTTTTTTTCTTATAAAATGCATTTAACATGAATAATCAATGGCTTTCATTTCATAGCTAACATTTTAAAAACAACAACTTATAAAAAAATCTATCTATACAGCCAATCATTGACTGTCTAACTACTGGGAACGTTTTTCCTCGCCGCTACAGCAATTAGTACAGTCAAAACAACATTGCTAGCTTTTAGAAGAGTTCCATTTCCAGCTGCCACTTGTTGACAACTGTTCTCTTAACGACAAGACTTCGTCTAAGAGACGTTTTTTTTCATCTAAGAGTTTGCTTATCTGCAATAAATGTAAATAATTATATTTATACAAACACAAACAAATTCTTACATCATCTTGTGCGTTTTTCAAATGGTTCCTCAAAATATCACTTTCCTCTTTGGCTTTTCGTAAGAGTCTGTTCTCTTCTGATACCCGTTCAAAAGCGAGTAGTTTTCTTTTCAATTCCTCATTATCTGACGATGATTGAATAGAATTTGATTGCAATATTTCACAGCTATTGTGGTTTGATAATAAATGTTCTTGTTGCAAAGAAATTTTAAATATTCCATCTTCATTGCGTTTAATAAATAATTCCACTACATTGAGGTCAATAGGTACAGGTCCTGGAGAAGTTATATTTACAGGAGGTCTGTCTTCTATTAAATGAATTTTTACATTGTTGATTGAAAGCTGTAGAATTTATATTTTAGAATTATTGAAGTATTGTAATTGAAATTTACTTACTTCTAATGGCAATGGAATAGCAATAAGTTCGTCCTCGATAAAATCAGTCAAACCTGTTGCAGTGCTCATATTCAAGCTCAATGACAAATCTTTTACTTTCACCGTTAGACAATCTGTGAATACTTTTCTCATGTTGTCTTTGTCAGTCAAATCGTACTGAGACAATAAGTTGGAAGAAGAGAGAGCTAGTGTATGATCCAGCCTGAGTCTTATTTTTGATGTGGCATTGCTGTCTGAATTCTCTGTCCAGCCTCTTGATCGCATACTAAATTTACCCTAGAAAATATATTTTTAGTTTATTTTTTCTAATATCTATGTATTAGATCAGAGATGGCAAAAGTATATTACGAAAGTACTTGAAGTACAAATATGAAGTAAATATATTTGATAGATTTACTTGAAGTATGTAAAATACTTTAAATACATTATTGGAAACATTACTTGAACTAATTTTGGTACTTCAAATATCTAAAATCTGTTTAAAACAATACAATTCTTAGTAATTTTTTTGGTTATTTACAATATAATCTAATCATCATTCTATTCTGGTGTCTTATGCAAGCTTTATGTTATTTGTTATTTATAAAATAAAGTACTAAGATGCTCTGGTGCACAGTAGTTTTTTTATATTTTTTGTTATAAGGTGCACTAAAATTTTGTATATCTCAAATCTCAGTTCAAAAAATCAAGCGGGGCATGATTCAAAAAAAAAAACAGAGTATTTGAACCCATACCTACAGCCTCTATTGTCCAGATCTTCCTGGATATTTGAGCAAATTGAAATAAATTATACACCGCTGGAAAGAGTATTAAATGCTCTATAAATCTATGCGAAATTGAGTTAGATAGCTCAGAAAGTTTTTGAGCAATTGACCCTCAAAGTTGACTTTTAGTCCAAATTTTGTTGACAACTTCAAACTCAATTTTCTCAAAAATATAAACCTGGGAATATTGTAAATTACAGGTCTTTTAGAGCTTAATAAGAGCTAAAATGATGAAAATTTCGATGCAATTTGCTCAACGGTTATCAGGTAATTGAGATTTGAATATTTTGAAATCAGAATTCAAAGGGGGTACCCTTATGAAAAACTTGATTTTTTTCATTTTTCAGTTTTGCTCAATTGTGACTTTACCAATCGATAGAATGGGTCAAAATTACTGGAAAACCACCCTGACATCATTTCCAAATGGCCATTTTAGGTAGAAACAAAAATAAAATAAAAAACCTATTTTTGCCTCTGGAAAATTTTTCAAATCTTGACATGGTCATGAACAATTGCCCATATCTTTGTTAAATTTCGAGTAAATTGAAATAAACTATGCACCGTTGGAAGGAGCAATAAATTCTCTATAAATCTGTGTAAAATTGAGTTTGATATCTTAAATAGTTTTTGAGCAATTGAGCCTCAAAGTTGATTTTTAATCCAAATTTTGTTGAAAACTTCAAACTCAATTTTCTCAAAAATCATAAGCCTGGGAATATTGTAAATTACAGGTATTTTAGAGCTTAATAAGAGCTACAAATGCTGAAATTATCGATGCAATTTGCTCAACGGTTATCGGGCAATTGAGATTTGAATATTTTGAAATCAGAATTCAAAGGGGTACCCTTATGAAAAACTTGATTTTTTCATTTTTCAGTTTTGCTCAATTGTGACTTTACCAATGGATAGAATGGGTCAAAATTAGTAGAAAGTGGAAAACAATCCTGACCTCATTTCCAAATGGTTGTTTTAAGAAGAAACAAAAATAAAATAAAAATCCTATTTTTGGCTACGGAAAATTTTCGAAATCTTGACATGGTCATGAACAATTGCCCATATCTTTATTAAATTTCAAGCAAATTAAAATAAACTATACACCGTTGGAAAGAGCAATACATTCTCTATAAATCTGTGCAAAATTGAGCTTGATAGCTCAAAAAGTTTTTGAGCAATTAAGCCTCAAAGTTGATTTTTAATCCAAATTTTGTCAAAAATTCAATTTGCTTAAAAACTATAAACCTGGAAACATTGTAAATTACAGGACATTTGGAGTTTAATAAGAGCTACAAATGCAGAAAATTTCAATGCAATTCGCTCAATAGTTACCGAGCATTTGAGATTTCAATATTTTGAAACCAGAATTCAAAGGGGGTCCCTTTATAAAAAACTCGACACCATTGTAAATAGCATTAAATTCTCTATATACCCTGGATATATAAAAGTTATGTTTCCTAACGGTGCTCATAAATCCCTATTTATATTACCTGAAATTCATCCCAAGGAATACTAGAACATTCTTCGCTAAGTATATTTCCAACTTGAACTTTAATCGAAGAAGAATAACCACGAGATTGTTGCAAAAATTCTACATTTGTGAGTTTGAATGTGGAGACACAAACCTACAAGAAAAAATTACTGTAAATATAATAATTTGATTTTTTGATTACTACCAAATCTTTTCTTCGACAACTGCTGGTGAGACTATGATCACTTGTAGAAGTCAAAGTCCCAGTTTCTTCAACCACTTCAGCGGCTTCTTCAACCCTCTCAAAATCCTGCATTCCATTTACAAAAAACATATAATCCATGCCTCTAACATCTTCTTCAAAATTAATCATAACTATTTGTTCAGAATCACTAGATGCATCACTTCTTACAGATATTGTGTCTGACATATCGTCAGGACTTTGTTTAAGGGCACTGTCAATTGATGACATCAGAGTAGAGAATCCTTTTTTCATTGAAGATAATCCTACGTTGATATTATTTTGCAACAAATTTTTCTGTGGCCCTTTAGGTGGAGTATAAACAGAATTTTTGCCTATTTTATTTTGAGTTACAAAAACCATATCTTCTTGTTCATGTTCTTGTGATTGCGAAAACACTTCTGTGTTCTCCGAATAGGAAACGCAACGGATATTTTCCATTTGCGGTATTGATCTTGTCGAATTCCTGAGTATACCTACAGTAATGTCGTCTATACTAGAAAAATCTGGAATAAATGATTCACCGTCTCCTCCAGAGGACTCTTTGCCTGGACTTTGAGGGGGCATTACAAATGTTACTTCGAGTTGAGGAATTAAAGCGCCAATAGCTAATGATGAGGTGCTTTCACTCTAAAAGAGTCAGTTTTAATATATATATATTTAAAAAAATAAATAATTATTATACTTTTAATATCCTATCTGAGTCAATATTTAAAAAAGTAGCTAATTCTGCAGCTTGATCTGCCAGTCTTAGTAAAAACAAATATTGATAGTGATTGATTTGTAAACTAACTAAATTGGAAATATACGCTAAGGCATGGATATCTAAAACAAACAAAATATTATTAAAAAGTTTTCAAAGCGAAAATTCTTGCCTGCAGTGTTGCCTTTATCACATTTCTCCTTAACAGTAGTACTATTTGGATCCAAATCCGCATGTAACCAAACAGTGATTGGAACAGCATCCAGAAATGGTATGGGTTTGTTAATGTCGGATTGTGCACCCAAAAAATCCCCATAAACTGGATCGAGAAATATGCACCAGACATCTTTGGCTTCCGTCCAAAATAGGTCTCTGGTTAGTTGACCATCCTTGAGCAATTTTGTTAGAAATTATGTGAGAATAATTAAATATTACTTACGGAAGCTTCCAGAGCAGATATGTCTAAGTGTTTTGGCACTTTTCTTACATCATCAGCTGCAGATATGTGATCGATGAATTTTTGGGTGACTACGTAAAAATCGTCAGGTCGGCTAGGGAAATCTGTGCCAAAGAATAGGGAACCCATGTGGAAGGAATCTACACATTTTGCTGTAAATGTAACAATATTTTTATTAATTTAAATTTGAGAAAATTTTCGATGTTGGTGAAGGAGTAATATAACCACCTTGATATTTTTCAATAAATTGAGTGAATGTTTTGCTCATTTTGTTCAAAAATTCACAAAGATTTAAAACCCAAATCTTTTAAAAAAAGGATATCCAGAAATTGATAAATCACCCCAAATTGCTTAACACGATTTTATCTCAGGAAATATGAGTCCAAATGAGCTGAAATTTTCAGAGATTATAGTCCTCTACAGGGATAAGAATCGCTGAAAATTTCAGCTTTCTATCTATAATAGAAAAAAAGTTATGACCTTTCAAAGTTTTCCAAAATCTAAATCATAAGGTAGGTACCTTCTTACTAAAACGATGAAATTTCAAATTTTTTTTTGTCGAGATTTTGTATCCTAATGGTCAATTAACATACCCCAAACTCCATACACTAAATTATTCTCAGATTTAAAGCCGAAATCTATGAAAAAAGGCACTCAGAAAAATTGAAAAATTGATAAATCACCCCAAATTGCTTAACACGATTTTATCTCAGGAAATATGAGTCCAAATGAGCTGAAATTTTCAGGGATTATAATCCTCTACAGGGATAAGAATCGCTGAAAATTTCAGCTTTCTATCTATAATAGAAAAAAAGTTATGACCTTTCAAAGTTTTCCAAAATCTAAATCATAAGGTAGGTACCTTCTTACTAAAACGATGAAATTTCAAATTTTTTTTTGTCGAGATTTTGTATCCTAATGGTCAATTAACATACCCCAAACTCCATACACTAAATTATTCTCAGATTTAAAGCCGAAATCTATGAAAAAAGGCACTCAGAAAAATTGAAAAATTGATAAATCACCCCAAATTGCTTAACACGATTTTATCTCAGGAAATATGAGTCCAAATGAGCTGAAATTTTCAGGGATTATAGTCCTCTACAGGGATAAGAAACGCTGAAAATTTCAGCTTTCTATCTATAATAGAAAAAAAGTTATGACCTTTCAAAATTTTCCAAAATCTAAATCATAAGGTAGGTACCTTCTTACTAAAACGATGTAATTTCAAATTTTTTTTTGTCGAGATTTTGTATGCTAATGGTCAATCAACATCCCCCAAACTCCATACACTAAATTAATCTCAGATTTGGAGCCGAAATCTATGAAAAAAGGCACTCAGAAAAATTGAAAAATTGATAAATCACCCCAAATTGCTTAACACGATTTTATCTCAGGAAATATGAGTCCAAATGAGCTGAAATTTTCAGGGATTATAATCCTCTACAGGGATAAGAATCGCTGAAAATTTCAGCTTTCTATCTATAATAGAAAAAAAGTTATGACCTTTCAAAGTTTTCCAAAATCTAAATCATAAGGTAGGTACCTTCTTACTAAAACGATGAAATTTCAAATTTTTTTTTGTCGAGATTTTGTATCCTAATGGTCAATTAACATACCCCAAACTCCATACACTAAATTATTCTCAGATTTAAAGCCGAAATCTATGAAAAAAGGCACTCAGAAAAATTGAAAAATTGATAAATCACCCCAAATTGCTTAACACGATTTTATCTCAGGAAATATGAGTCCAAATGAGCTGAAATTTTCAGGGATTATAATCCTCTACAGGGATAAGAATCGCTGAAAATTTCAGCTTTCTATCTATAATAGAAAAAAAGTTATGACCTTTCAAAGTTTTCCAAAATCTAAATCATAAGGTAGGTACCTTCTTACTAAAACGATGAAATTTCAAATTTTTTTTTGTCGAGATTTTGTATCCTAATGGTCAATTAACATACCCCAAACTCCATACACTAAATTATTCTCAGATTTAAAGCCGAAATCTATGAAAAAAGGCACTCAGAAAAATTGAAAAATTGATAAATCACCCCAAATTGCTTAACACGATTTTATCTCAGGAAATATGAGTCCAAATGAGCTGAAATTTTCAGGGATTATAGTCCTCTACAGGGATAAGAAACGCTGAAAATTTCAGCTTTCTATCTATAATAGAAAAAAAGTTATGACCTTTCAAAATTTTCCAAAATCTAAATCATAAGGTAGGTACCTTCTTACTAAAACGATGTAATTTCAAATTTTTTTTTGTCGAGATTTTGTATGCTAATGGTCAATCAACATCCCCCAAACTCCATACACTAAATTAATCTCAGATTTGGAGCCGAAATCTATGAAAAAAGGCACTCAGAAAAATTGAAAAATTGATAAATCACCCCAAATTGCTTAACACGATTTTATCTCAGGAACTATAAGTGCAAATGAGCTGAAATTTTCAGGGATTGTAATCCTTTGAAAGAGATAAAATTCAGTGAAAGTTTCAGCTTTCTATCTATAATAGAAAAAAAGTTATGACCTTTCAAATTTTTCCAAAATCTAAATCATAAGGTAGGTACCTTCTTACTAAAACGATGTAATTTCAAATTTTTTTTTGTCGAGATTTTGTATCCTAATGGTCAATCAACATCCCCCAAACTCCATACACTAAATAATTCTCAGATTTAAAGCCGAAATCTATGAAAAAAGGCACTCAGAAAAATTGAAAAATTGATAAATCACCCCAAATTGCTTAACACGATTTTATCTCAGGAAATATGAGTCCAAATGAGCTGAAATTTTCAGGGATTGTAGTCCTTTGAAAGTGATAAAATTCAGTGAAAGTTTCAGCTTTCTATCTATAATAGAAAAAAAGTTATGACCTTTCAAATTTTTCCAAAATCTAAATCATAAGGTAGGTACTTTCTTACTAAAACGATGAAATTTCAAATTTTTTTTGTTGAGATTTTGTATCCCAGTGGTCAATCAACATCCCCCAAACTCCATACACTAAATTAATCTCAGATTTGGAGCCGAAATCTATGAAAAAAGGCACTCAGAAAAATTGAAAAATTGATAAATCACCCCAAATTGCTTAACACGATTTTATCTCAGGAACTATAAGTGCAAATGAGCTGAAATTTTCAGGGATTGTAGTCCTTTGAAAGTGATAAAATTCAGTGAAAGTTTCAGCTTTCTATCTATAATAGAAAAAAAGTTATGACCTTTCAAAATTTTCCAAAATCTAAATCATAAGGTAGGTACCTTCTTACTAAAACGATGTAATTTCAAATTTTTTTTTGTCGAGATTTTGTATGCTAATGGTCAATTAACATACCCCAAACTCCATACACTAAATTATTCTCAGATTTAAAGCCGAAATCTATGAAAAAAGGCACTCAGAAAAATTGATAAATCACCCCAAATTGCTTAACACGATTTTATCTCAGGAAATATGAGTCCAAATGAGCTGAAATTTTCAGAGATTATAGTCTTCTACAGGGATAAGAATCGCTGAAAATTTCAGCTTTCTATCTATAATAGAAAAAAAGTTATGACCTTTCAAAGTTTTCCAAAATCTAAATCATAAGGTAGGTACCTTCTTACTAAAACGATGAAATTTCAAATTTTTTTTTGTCGAGATTTTGTATCCTAATGGTCAATCAACATCCCCCAAACTCCATACACTAAATAATTCTCAGATTTAAAGCCGAAATCTATGAAAAAAGGCACTCAGAAAAATTGAAAAATTGATAAATCACCCCAAATTGCTTAACACGATTTTATCTCAGGAAATATGAGTCCAAATGAGCTGAAATTTTCAGGGATTGTAGTCCTTTGAAAGTGATAAAATTCAGTGAAAGTTTCAGCTTTCTATCTATAATAGAAAAAAAGTTATGACCTTTCAAAATTTTCCAAAATCTAAATCATAAGGTAGGTACCTTCTTACTAAAACGATGTAATTTCAAATTTTTTTTTGTCGAGATTTTGTATGCTAATGGTCAATCAACATCCCCCAAACTCCATACACTAAATTAATCTCAGATTTGGAGCCGAAATCTATGAAAAAAGGCACTCAGAAAAATTGAAAAATTGATAAATCACCCCAAATTGCTTAACACGATTTTATCTCAAGAAATATGAGTCCAAATGAGCTGAAATTTTCAGAGATTATAGTCTTCTACAGGGATAAGAATCGCTGAAAATTTCAGCTTTCTATCTATAATAGAAAAAAAGTTATGACCTTTCAAAGTTTTCCAAAATCTAAATCATAAGGTAGGTACCTTCTTACTAAAACGATGAAATTTCAAATTTTTTTTTGTCGAGATTTTGTATCCTAATGGTCAATCAACATCCCCCAAACTCCATACACTAAATAATTCTCAGATTTAAAGCCGAAATCTATGAAAAAAGGCACTCAGAAAAATTGAAAAATTGATAAATCACCCCAAATTGCTTAACACGATTTTATCTCAGGAAATATGAGTCCAAATGAGCTGAAATTTTCAGGGATTGTAGTCCTTTGAAAGTGATAAAATTCAGTGAAAGTTTCAGCTTTCTATCTATAATAGAAAAAAAGTTATGACCTTTCAAAATTTTCCAAAATCTAAATCATAAGGTAGGTACCTTCTTACTAAAACGATGTAATTTCAAATTTTTTTTTGTCGAGATTTTGTATGCTAATGGTCAATCAACATCCCCCAAACTCCATACACTAAATTAATCTCAGATTTGGAGCCGAAATCTATGAAAAAAGGCACTCAGAAAAATTGAAAAATTGATAAATCACCCCAAATTGCTTAACACGATTTTATCTCAAGAAATATGAGTCCAAATGAGCTGAAATTTTCAGAGATTATAGTCTTCTACAGGGATAAGAATCGCTGAAAATTTCAGCTTTCTATCTATAATAGAAAAAAAGTTATGACCTTTCAAAGTTTTCCAAAATCTAAATCATAAGGTAGGTACCTTCTTACTAAAACGATGAAATTTCAAATTTTTTTTGTTGAGATTTTGTATCCTAATGGTCAATCAACATCCCCCAAACTCCATACACTAAATTAATCTCAGATTTGAATCCGAAATCTATGAAAAAAGGCACTCAGAAAAATTGAAAAATTGATAAATCACCCCAAATTGCTTAACACGATTTTATCTCAGGAACTATAAGTGCAAATGAGCTGAAATTTTCAGGGATTGTAGTCCTTTGAAAGTGATAAAATTCAGTGAAAGTTTCAGCTTTCTATCTATAATAGAAAAAAAGTTATGACCTTTCAAAATTTTCCAAAATCTAAATCATAAGGTAGGTAGGTACCTTCTTACTAAAACGATGTAATTTCAAATTTTTTTTTGTCGAGATTTTGTATGCTAATGGTCAATTAACATACCCCAAACTCCATACACTAAATTATTCTCAGATTTAAAGCCGAAATCTATGAAAAAAGGCACTCAGAAAAATTGATAAATCACCCCAAATTGCTTAACACGATTTTATCTCAGGAAATATGAGTCCAAATGAGCTGAAATTTTCAGAGATTATAGTCTTCTACAGGGATAAGAATCGCTGAAAATTTCAGCTTTCTATCTATAATAGAAAAAAAGTTATGACCTTTCAAAGTTTTCCAAAATCAAATCATAAGGTAGGTACCTTCTTACTAAAACGATGAAATTTCAAATTTTTTTTTGTCGAGATTTTGTATCCTAATGGTCAATCAACATACCCCAAACTCCATACACTAAATTATTCTCAGATTTAAAGCCGAAATCTATGAAAAAAGGCACTCAGAAAAATTGAAAAATTGATAAATCACCCCAAATTGCTTAACACGATTTTATCTCAGGAACTATGAGTCCAAATGAGCTGAAATTTTCAGGGATTATAGTCCTCTACAGGGATAAGAAACGCTGAAAATTTCAGCTTTCTACCTATAATAGAAAAAAAGTTATGACCTTTCAAAGTTTTCCAAAATCTAAATCATAAGGTAGGTACCTTCTTACTAAAACGATGAAATTTCAAATTTTTTTTTGTCGAGATTTTGTATCCTAATGGTCATTCAACATACCCCAAACTCCATACACTAAATTATTCTCAGATTTAAAGCCGAAATCTATGAAAAAAGGCACTCAGAAAAATTGATAAATCACCCCAAATTGCTTAACACGATTTTATCTCAGGAAATATGAGTCCAAATGAGCTGAAATTTTCAGGGATTGTAGTCCTCTACTAGAATAAGAATCTCTGGAAATTTCAGCTCTCTATCTATATTAGAATTTCACGAATTGGAAAAATAATTACCAACCTAGATCTGCTCTTGAAGAATGTTCCAATGTCCTCACATTTGTTACTGTTGCTCTTGTCACTTGCATACTCAAACATTTAGGCCTGTCTCTTTGATTATGATGTTCCTCGCTACTTTCAAAATTCAACTAAAACTCATCATATTTTAGCAATGACAACAACCATATAAATACTACTTACTCTTGGTAGTATAGCTTCAATTTTAATATCAATATAAGTATAACTTGGAGGGATTTCATTAGTTTCAGAATCCAATAAGGATTGACAAAGATTCAATAGGAAACAATTCAACCACAAACAAGTGTCCCTGTCGAAGATTATTTGTATTGGATTAATTTGGACATAGAATTTAGGAGCTGGTACTAAAAAATAAATTATTAACTTTCGAATAAATAAATAAATAGGTAATTCTTACATGGAAATGGTGCATCACTTGGATAGTAATAATAAATGTATTCTGCGTGAATTATGCTGGCATCTTTCGGTAAACTCATTCTATTTCTATCACCTAAAATTGGAATTTGAATTATCTTAGAACAAATTATGTTTTCAAAACGACTCTACTTTATTTTTTCAGCCTAATCTCTGTTGCTGTAGATGTAAAAAAGCAATATGGCTACGAAATTATACTTATTAGGGTTGAATTTGCTCTAAATAAGGCATCAAACTAAATGTGCAACAACTACAATAATACCTGGCATTTTGTTTTCTTTCCTTTTAAGTTGAGCTAATAGATAATAAAATTATTGTTTAAATTATTTTAGTTTATAGCCCCTGTCTTTTCTCGTAACCAAAATTCAAGAACCTCAAAAATATCAGAATTTTCCCCAAGATTTTTAAAAAATCATAACACCCCAAATCCTAAGTTAACTTACCACAAAGAAATTCCTTTAAAACTTGCTTCTTCCCTGATGTAGTCACCCTGTAAACAGTAAAATCATCCACCCTCATCACCACAGAAGTGGTCATCAACTTATTCAATTGCCATTCCAATCTTTTTTTGATTTCCTTATAGCTCAAATTAGAGGTTTTTTGATTTTCACTGGTTTGTGGCAACCCATCAGTCTGCAAGCACAAAAATCAAATCATTTTACCAACTCATAAACATAAAAAAACCTACTTTTGGTTTTCTACTTAAAGGAACGTGCTGGGTTTTATTGTGATCAAACAAATCCATAAACTTGCTTTTAAATGAGGCCAAAGCCTGCTCTTGCCACATTGCATGAGGCACTGAAGAAGAATTATATGTGGGCCAATGTTTTCTGTCTCCTAAAATTATTTACTAGATTTTTTGTTTTAGTTAACATACAATTAATTACCTTTGGCTAAATGATAAGGATAAAAATCAACTTGAAACCTTTTAATCGATATCTGCAAAGCGCCACCTTCATGCAAATTTGGATGAGAAGATCTGCCAGCCCCTGGATCATCACATAAATGAAGCACAATTTGATTGGACATGAAATGATATGAAGTTTCTACAACATCATATAAAGCAAACATACGACAAGCTGCTTTTGTTGTTTTGGATGCTACATTTTGTAAGGCTTCTTGGGCTAGTTGAGCTTGATATTCTGGCAATTCTTCTAGTTTTCTAGCTGCCTTCAACTTTCTAGTTAGATTAGTTGCTCTTTGAATCAATCCAGATAATGAGTTTAAAAAATGTAAAGCTGCTTTTAGTTGTGAATCAGTCAAAACCCAAAGCAAATCGTCCAGGATTATTACTAATCTTGAACCCAAAATAAAACAGTCTGACAATCTTTTTTTTATAGTTATCCTGCATCTAGCTTGATTGGTAAGCAGCCTCAAAGGAGTCAAATTATTGTCCTTGGTAGACTTGGCTTCTATCCTAACAGTTTGCCATTGTAATTCTTTAAAAATTAACAATTGGCCTTTTTCAGGATTTTTTAATCTTGTCATGGGCAATTCCATACGAGAAAACTTAGGAGTAACAGACTCAACAATTATTCTTTGAATCTAAAATAGGTTTGATTAAAATTTGTTGATTGTAATAGTTGGTGATTGTTACTTGAAGTGTAGCAACAAAGGCAGGACTGTTAAAGGAAATATTTACAGTGTTTACTGTAATAGTAATTCCATCAATAACCTTATGAATAAAACTATATTTGCCTGGTGATCCGTATGGCGACATGGCATCTTGACTAGTTGTAGGTCTCAATTCCTCACACGTTTCTACTGTTATATCTACTTCATCAAGACTCTATACAAAGAAGTAATGTATTATTATTATAATTTTGCTCACAACTACTAACCAAGCATATTGGCACAGTTTTAAGCTTTGTCCAAGTTATCCTAAAAGTGACTTTATTGCACCAGGCTTTGGTTAGTCTCAACCAACAAGGTAGCTCAAGTAAATCAGTTAGGACATCTTCATTGAGTTCTAAATTTGTTAGTTCGCCTTCGCCTTTGAAGGTGCTAAGGTTGATTTTGTCTGCAGACAGGTTTTTGGTAAATCTGAAAGCAATATTGATGTGTGAGAGATTTTGTAAAAAAAAATTGATTTTTGATAAGGTCTTGGTAAAAGGTGGTGGGCTAATTGCATAGTTGATGTATTTTTCTGGCTCGAGAAGTTATGCTATTTTGCAACGTTTTTCTCTTGAAGAGGAATGTTACAATTAATATGATAATATTAAGTTAAATACTTAATGATAAAAATTATTTGATATTTAGAAGTATACAATAGTTTGCTTCTGAAAAAATTCAATTTTTTTTTTGTTGAAACTATGAACTTCAAATTTACAGAAAATATAGCTTAAAGTGTCTTTTATTGACTGGACCAAACCGTAAGTCAATAACGACATTGAAACTTAAGTTATGAATTTTTTTGTTAAATAAAACATTGAATTTTCAATGAGATACATACAGATTTTCTTCTGGTGAAACTATTAACTTCAAATTTAGAGGAAATATAGTTCAAAGTGTCTTTTATTGACTGGAACAAACCGTAAGTCAATATCGACATTGGAACTTAAGTTATGAATTTTATTGTCAGATAAAACATAGAATTTTCAATGAGAGACATATGCAAAAATTCAGATTTTTTCAGGTGTAACTATCGACTTCAAATTTACAGGAAATATAGCTCAAAGTGTCTGTTATTGACTGGAAGAAATTGTAAGTCAATATCGACATCGAAACTGAAGTTATGAATTTTTTTGGAAAATGAAACATAGAATTTACAATGAGAGACATATGTAAAAATTCAGTTTTTTTTCTGGTGAAACTATCAACTTCAAATTTACAGGAAATATAGCTCAAAGTGTCTGTTATTGACTGAAATAAACTGCAAGTCAATATCAACATTGAAACTGAAGTTATGATTTTTTCGGTAAGATAAAACATAGAATTTTTAATCAGAGACATATGCAAAAATTCAGATTTTTTTCTGGTGAAACTCTCAACTTCAAATTTACAGGAAATATAGCTCAAAGTGTCTGTTATTGACTGGAACAAACTGTAAGTCAATATCGATATTGAAACTGAAGTTATGATTTATTTTGTCAGATGAAACATAGAATTTTCCATCAGAGACATATGCAAAAATTCAGATTTTTTTCTGGTGGAACTATCGATTTCAAATTTACAGGAATTATAGCTCAAAGTGTCGGTTATTGAGTGGAACAAACTCTTAGTCAATATCGATATTGAAACTGAAGTTATGAATTTTTTTTGAAGATGAAACATAAAATTTTTGAATGAGAGACATATGCAAAAATTCAGTATTTTTTCTGGTGAAACTATCGACTTCAAATTTACAGGAAATATAGCTCAAAGTGTCTGTTATTGACTGGAACAAACTGTAAGTGAATATCGACATTGAAACTGACGTTATGAATTTTTTTCTCAGATGAAACATAGAATTTTCAATAAGAGACATATGCAAAAATTCAGATTTTTTTCTGGTGAAACTCTCAACTTCAAATTTACAGGAAATATAGCTCAAAGTGTCTGTTATTGACTGGAACAAACTTTAAGTCAATATCGACATTGAAACTGAAGTTATGAATTTTTTTGGAAGATAAAACATAGAATTTTCAATGAGAGACATATGCAAAAATTCAGTTTTTTTTTTCTGGTGAAACTATCAACTTCAAATTTACAGGAAATATAGCTCAAAGTGTCTGTTATTGACTGGAACAAACTGTAAGTGAATATCGTCATTGAAACTGAAGTTATGAATTTTTTTGGAAGATAAAACATAGAATTTTCAATGAGAGACATATGCAAAAATTCAGTTTTTTTTTTCTGGTGAAACTATCAACTTCAAATTTACAGGAAATATAGCTCAAAGTGTCTGTTATTGACTGGAACAAACTGTAAGTGAATATCGACGTTGAAACTGAAGTTATGAATTTTTTTGGAAGATGAAACATAGAATTTTCAATGAGAGACATATGCAAAAATTCAGTTTTTTTTCTGGTGTAATTATCGACTTCAAATTTACAGGAAATATAGCTCAAAGTGTCTGTTATTGACTGGAACAAACTTTAAGTCAATATCGACATTGAAACTGAAGTTATGAATTTTTTTGGAAGATAAAACATAGAATTTTCAATGAGAGACATATGCAAAAATTCAGTTTTTTTTTTCTGGTGAAACTATCAACTTCAAATTTACAGGAAATATAGCTCAAAGTGTCTGTTATTGACTGGAACAAACTGTAAGTGAATATCGACGTTGAAACTGAAGTTATGAATTTTTTTGGAAGATGAAACATAGAATTTTCAATGAGAGACATATGCAAAAATTCAGTTTTTTTTCTGGTGTAATTATCGACTTCAAATTTACAGGAAATATAGCTCAAAGTGTCTGTTATTGACTGGAACAAACTTTAAGTCAATATCGACATTGAAACTGAAGTTATGAATTTTTTTGGAAGATAAAACATAGAATTTTCAATGAGAGACATATGCAAAAATTCAGTTTTTTTTTTCTGGTGAAACTATCAACTTCAAATTTACAGGAAATATAGCTCAAAGTGTCTGTTATTGACTGGAACAAACTGTAAGTGAATATCGACGTTGAAACTGAAGTTATGAATTTTTTTGGAAGATGAAACATAGAATTTTCAATGAGAGACATATGCAAAAATTCAGTTTTTTTTCTGGTGTAATTATCGACTTCAAATTTACAGGAAATATAGCTCAAAGTGTCTGTTATTGACTGGAACAAACTTTAAGTCAATATCGACATTGAAACTGAAGTTATGAATTTTTTTGGAAGATAAAACATAGAATTTTCAATGAGAGACATATGCAAAAATTCAGTTTTTTTTTTCTGGTGAAACTATCAACTTCAAATTTACAGGAAATATAGCTCAAAGTGTCTGTTATTGACTGGAACAAACTGTAAGTGAATATCGACGTTGAAACTGAAGTTATGAATTTTTTTGGAAGATGAAACATAGAATTTTCAATGAGAGACATATGCAAAAATTCAGTTTTTTTTCTGGTGTAATTATCGACTTCAAATTTACAGGAAATATAGCTCAAAGTGTCTGTTATTGACTGGAACAAACTTTAAGTCAATATCGACATTGAAACTGAAGTTATGAATTTTTTTGGAAGATAAAACATAGAATTTTCAATGAGAGACATATGCAAAAATTCAGTTTTTTTTTTCTGGTGAAACTATCAACTTCAAATTTACAGGAAATATAGCTCAAAGTGTCTGTTATTGACTGGAACAAACTGTAAGTGAATATCGACGTTGAAACTGAAGTTATGAATTTTTTTGGAAGATGAAACATAGAATTTTCAATGAGAGACATATGCAAAAATTCAGTTTTTTTTCTGGTGTAATTATCGACTTCAAATTTACAGGAAATATAGCTCAAAGTGTCTGTTATTGACTGGAACAAACTTTAAGTCAATATCGACATTGAAACTGAAGTTATGAATTTTTTTGGAAGATAAAACATAGAATTTTCAATGAGAGACATATGCAAAAATTCAGTTTTTTTTTTCTGGTGAAACTATCAACTTCAAATTTACAGGAAATATAGCTCAAAGTGTCTGTTATTGACTGGAACAAACTGTAAGTGAATATCGACGTTGAAACTGAAGTTATGAATTTTTTTGGAAGATGAAACATAGAATTTTCAATGAGAGACATATGCAAAAATTCAGTTTTTTTTCTGGTGTAATTATCGACTTCAAATTTACAGGAAATATAGCTCAAAGTGTCTGTTATTGACTGGAACAAACTTTAAGTCAATATCGACATTGAAACTGAAGTTATGAATTTTTTTGGAAGATAAAACATAGAATTTTCAATGAGAGACATATGCAAAAATTCAGTTTTTTTTTTCTGGTGAAACTATCAACTTCAAATTTACAGGAAATATAGCTCAAAGTGTCTGTTATTGACTGGAACAAACTGTAAGTGAATATCGACGTTGAAACTGAAGTTATGAATTTTTTTGGAAGATGAAACATAGAATTTTCAATGAGAGACATATGCAAAAATTCAGTTTTTTTTCTGGTGTAATTATCGACTTCAAATTTACAGGAAATATAGCTCAAAGTGTCTGTTATTGACTGGAACAAACTGTAAGTGAATATCGACGTTGAAACTGAAGTTATGAATTTTTTTGGAAGATGAAACATAGAATTTTCAATGAGAGACATATGCAAAAATTCAGTTTTTTTTCTGGTGTAATTATCGACTTCAAATTTACAGGAAATATAGCTCAAAGTGTCTGTTATTGACTGGAACAAACTTTAAGTCAATATCGACATTGAAACTGAAGTTATGAATTTTTTTGGAAGATAAAACATAGAATTTTCAATGAGAGACATATGCAAAAATTCAGTTTTTTTTTTTCTGGTGAAACTATCGACTTCAAATTTACAGGAAATATAGCTCAAAGTGTCTGTTATTGACTGGAACAAACTTTAAGTCAATATCGACATTGAAACTGAAGTTATGAATTTTTTTGGAAGATAAAACATAAAACATAGAATTTTCAATGAGAGACATATGCAAAAATTCAGATTTTTTTCTGGTGGAACAATCGACTTCAAATTTACAGGAAATATAGCTCAAAGTGTCTGTTATTGAGTGGAACAAACTCTTAGTCAATATCGATATTGAAACTGAAGTTATGAATTTTTTTTGAAGATGAAACATAAAATTTTTGAATGAGGGGCATATGCAAAAATTCAGTTTTTTTTCTGGTAAAACTCTCAACTTCAAATTTACAGGAAATATAACTCAAAGTGTCTGTTATTGACTGGAACAAACTGTAAGTGAATATCGACATTGAAACTGAAGTTATGAATTTTTTTGGAAGATGAAACATAGAATTTTCAATGAGAGACATATGCAAAAATTCAGTTTTTTTTTTGGTGAAACTATCGACTTCAAATTTACAGGAAATATAGCTCAAAGTGTCTGTTATTGACTGGAACAAACTGTAAGTGAATATCGACATTGAAACTGAAGTTATGAAT